TAGCACTGTTTTATTTTTATCATTGTTGTTAAATTTATTTTATGCCACTCAAAAATATTTTGCAAGTTATTTTTCATATCTTGTAAGTTATCTTATTTTTTCATATCTTCCAGGTTACCTTTATATCATGTAGGTTATTTTTATATCCCTCAGAATTTTTTTTCCTCAACAAAAATCTTCAATAATTTTTTTTTCAAATTCTCTCTCTCCTACTTTCTCTCTCTTGCACTCGCTCAATTTCGACGGAAACAGAGAAACTAACTAGAATCTCTTTACGCTATATCTGCAAGCTTCTAAACCAAAATCATTATGGACCTGTTTAGTTTCTATACTTGAATTCATGTTTCCTAGTCTGTTATAGTATTTTTCATCTCACAAAGCATTTGAATACTAGAATTTCCTCTCACAAAGTTCTTGTAAATTAATCATAATCACTTACTTGAACATGTGAAACAAACAAACCCTATGTCTATTTGGTAACTCAGATCAATCAAAGCATGTAAATAGTATATAGAAGATTATCAATAGCTCACTTGGATCAATGATGGCCTTTTTAATTGTTATAGTATTTTCTCTCACAAAAATTCAAATTCAATTTTTTACTATTATATTTTTCTCTCATATATACAACTCAAATTCTAAACTTGAATTGTGAAATGAATAAGGCCAATATCTCATAAAGAATCAGGAATCTGATAACCACAAATCATCAAGATCTACCCTCGACGATAGTGAGGAAACTCAGCGGCGACTGAGAGAGAGAGAGCTCGAGGGAGAGGAAGAGGAACTGAGAGAGATTGAATTAATGGAAAAAAAATAATATGTGGTATCAAAAAAATTTTAATAGCATAAATAATAGGATGTTGAAAAACAGTGCTTAATATGTACTTTTCTCTTATATAAAGAGGCATTTTAACAATTACATTGATAGTGCTGCAACGAGAGGGTGGAATATTTACAGAGCGAATGCAATAATGGCAACATATAGAATAATTGAGAAATATATAGAAGAGATTTTTCGTTGAATGGTGAAAGAAATGTTGTTGGCCTATGGAAAATAATTGTCGGTATATGATGTAGCAGCCAGCAAGCGGTGAATTTAATTTACATATACATATATATATATATATGTATGTATAGGGTCTTATTTTCTTGGGAAATGGTAGAAAAATATGAAAAGCTTAATAAAGTATATAGGTCAATTTTTAGTTATAGAAATTAATAGGTCATAACTTGTCAAGTTATGGTTCATAACGAGATAAGTTATGGATAAACTTGTCAAGTTATGGTTCATAGTCAGAAAAGTTATGGACAAAAATCGTGAATTATGGACAATAACTTGTCAAGTTATGGTTCATAACCAGACAAGTTATGGACAAAAATAATAATTTGGCATATTTATTAATTTATGTAAACTATTGACCTATTAATTTTAATTCATCTCAAGTCTTGACCTATTTCCCTCTTTCTCCCTATTTTCTTTTATTGCATATCATTCATGTAAGGACAGACACAGTAATAAATTTAATTACGCTTATTAAGGGCAAGTAATTCAAGTATACACATAACACGGTACTTATGCAGTGAGTTAATTACTGAAAAATACCTTATTCATAAAATACAGTGAATTAACTGTCAAATAACTATATTAAAATCATTTCAGAATTAAAAAAATAAATTAATATTTTTAATAAAAATCTAACGGTTAAAATTTATTTTTGTTTTACCGATAGGTTTATCTTTTAATAATATCCAATGCCCACCCATGTACTAACGGCGATAGCTGCTGATCTTCTTGCCCTTATAATATGTATTTGAAGTCTGAAGTGTCCATCATTTTTTGTGCAGAACTCATGAGGTTTTTCGTTGGTTATAATAGAAGATCCCATATTGTCAGAAACGGAGAGATATCTAGTAGATTGCTCTTCAATATAGCTTGGATCTCCGTTTTCCAATCAGGTACTGAGGATATTTTCAGTTATAAGGTTGCCGAGCGAAGGACATGACACTTTGCACACAATTATTGTGCATCTATATTTTCAATCTTAACTATATTCTACACATATACATACCACCGCGTGAAATCATATATATATATATATATATGTGAATACTGCTATATATATAGTTTCCAAAGATTCCTCTTCTACTAATATATAATACAAAATACCAAAGAAGTAAACAGCATTAATTGTTGATGTAGAGGAGATCAGTGCGCTAGCTGTTCATCAGAAGTACTTCAACAGCTATACTCCAACCATTTTTGTTTTACTAGTACTTATGGTAGCAGCAGCAAAAATAAAAATAAAAATAAAATAATAAAATAAAATAAAAAAAGAACACACTAGTACTTATGGACTCTTCTATCTAGAGACGTAAGGATAGACAGCCGTCCCATTCAATTTTTTTATGCATATAATTTTGCTAAAATTTTTGTTTTACCCCCTTAAAAATATAAAATTCTATATATGTTCACCATATGTATTTCAAAATCTGAAACTATGTATTGCGTCCCTTTTTTTTCCCGACTCCATCCATGCTTCTATTAATGCTTCTCTAATTTGATCTGGAATTATAAACAAATATTGGATCTAGAATTAGCCAATCCGTCCTTGTCATATATATATATATATATATATAATATATGGGGATCATTAAGCTAGAGAATACTCTTAACCTTTTGATTTAAGACGAAGTTGATCATGTCAATTATAGATGGTAACGCGTTCTCTTAGTTTTATTAAAATGCATGTGTGTGTGTGTGAGAGAGAGAGAGAGAGTATGTGTGTGTGTGAGAGAGAGAGAGAGAGTGTGTGTGTGAGAGAGTGTGTGTGTGTGTGTGAGAGAGAGAGAGAGAGAGAGAGAGAGAGAGAGACAGAGAGAGAGAGTGTGTGTGTGTGTGAGAGAGAGAGAGAGAGAGAGTGTGTGTGTGTGAATGAGAGAGAGAGAGAGAGAGAGGTGGAGGCAAAGAATACGAAACCCTAAAGAAAGCTACGTGCGTGAAGCAGCTAAAGGATTGCCCAAAACGTGTAGTTGAGCTGTAGTTGAAATAAGATATTCACATGGTTCGCTGCTGTCAAGTTGCAACTTAATGAACATTGCGTATATAAGTGAACAAAATCTAACAAAGTTGATATAAATACACATTGTGATGTGTTGTAAGCTAAAAAGAAATATTGCTATAAGTATATAGGAGCGTCTCCAAGGTGCAAATTAGGAGAGCTTCTGATCAGTTTAAACTTTTTAGTTTAACGTTTTAATTGAAATTAATACATAAACGTCAACGTGGTAATTTTAAACACATGTTGCGTACTAGCTCAAGGGAAAAGCAAGCCCGAAACCAATCTGGAGATATAAATACACATACACACACAATGTTCTCATTGTAGCCTAATTTCCACCATACAACATATAATTAATTGATGAGATGGAGTAACAAAAGATTTTTTTTTAATTTGAAGTGATATCGGATTTAAATTCAACACCTTAATTACGGTGGAATTAGGTGTGAAATTATTGTTAGATCGAAGACTGCAACCACTTAACCGAAAGAATTTCAGTGCCACATATATATATATATATTTTGGACAAGCAGTACCATATATAATAGTTCCAATATTGAAAGGAATCTTTTTTATGGCCTTCTAGGCTCTAACACAATATTTGTTCATGCATAAGCATGCACGATAATCTAGGCTCTAGCAATGAGGTGTTCCGTTTGGTATTTGCAGAAAGATTCAGAGTTTCTTAAGACGAATTCTTATTCATGATCATTAGTACTTGCACTTTATATATGCATTTTAATATATACCATCCTTACCAATGACTGATCACTAACTAAACCAGTTAACAGAATCTATTGTGTCAACCCTCTTTTTCGTGTCTGAAAAATCTATTGTGTCAACTTGCTAAGAGGATCCTCCATATGATTCCTATACAATATTACTTCTTTTGCATTTCGGTTCTACGTCAAAATCTTAAATGTGTAATTGAAGATAATCTACTATAACCGTAAATCAACGTAAGTCTAAGAAATTGGGCATACGCCTCAGTCGACATATAAAATATTCCTTAAATAGTTCTGATGTGATGATGAGTTTTGAGTTGATGATCAGCCAATTATGGTGACGCCTATATTTGTCATATATAATTTACGCTTAGCTAGGCAGCATAAGGGTATGGAGAAAGGTCGAGGGACTTAATTTTTCGTTGCAAAAGTCAACATCCTAGTAACTAGTCTTACATAAATAATGCGTTGGATTTTTCTTTCCAACATGCAATATGGGCTTATTAGATTTTTGTTGTTCCCTAGGTTATTTTTATTATATAAAAAAAGACACTCTTAATTAAAAAATAAGGATCTGAAAATACTACACATTCTGTGATATATACACATGTCCTTAGTTTAGGAACATAAACTATGTAACTGATACAATATGCCCACCATTTACAGGACCATGCAGAGGCAGAACTTATGAAAATGACTTCTTATTATTTATTTATTTTTTTTATTTTTTGCTGTTTCTTTGCTTTTGTTTTTCTCTTCACTGAACGCCCCCTGTAGTGCACAAATACGTGGAAAGCACCGAACCCTAGTTTGGGAAAGGTCTGTAATTTCCGAGGCCATAATTTGTTAGCTAATCCCCTCAATTGTCAGATCAACTTTCAGTACTACACGCCATTAGATTTAGACATATGCATGGCGTACATATAATGATGATATAATTTAGAAGGGCATATTAGTCGGTAGATTAATTTGTTACACCAAATTATTAATATTATCAAGTCCCTCAAACGCGAATATATTGCAGTATATGGTGCGAATTTGCACCTGCAAAAGTCGTTTCCTCTAGCTAAAACCACTACGTATTTTTGGGATTTTTGGCAAAAACCACCTTAGGGTCTTTTTCTTTCTTTCAGACCCTCTCTCTCTCTCTCTCTCTCTCTCTCTCTCTCTCTCTCTCTCTCTCTCTCTCTCCAAGTATAGACAAAGAAAGAAAGAGTTATAAATGTGGGAAAGAAGTGGGAAGTATAGTATATAAACTTTGGCTTCTTTAGGAAGTGGAAGTTTTCCGAAAGCTGAGGTGCCCGGAGTGGAAGCCAAAGCGAGGTCTGTGGTTGATCTTTTTAAAGAAAACGTTTGGTCACAGATCGATCTGATAGCAAAATATAGCTTGAATCGGCTTCATTCATGCCTTTTCATTATAGGATAATGCATAAACATGATTACATCTTATTAGATCTGTTGCCAGAAAAAAAAAGAATCTTCTTTCCCTTGCATGGAGATCTAGTTTTCCCCTTCTTTTTTTTTTTTCTTTCTTTTTTCAGTTACCCATCTTTAGATTTTTCATGCAATAGCTACTCATGAACTGTTCTCTTTATATATACATACACACACACACATATATATATATATATATGGTAAAATTTCTCATCATGAAGTTGCTTCAAATATTTCGAAATTTTCTTCATCCTAGATCTATTCTTGTAGTTCACTAGCTCTTTTACCGTTTTTTTTTTCTTTTCCAGTTTCGCCCTGGCCTTTTAATCAATGAAGTACTTCTTTGTTCGACATAAAACCATTGTTTTGTTTCTTTGAACTGATCTGAGTCTAATGTACGCAAAAGGGTGAATGAACAAATAAATCGTGTGTGCTTTCTAACAGTTTCTTAGAATAGCCATAATATATTTTTTTTAATTAATTAAACGTAAACATTCTTCTTTAAATTTCTTTCGCCCTAATTATTTCATGGTCTGTTTTGAGTTTATGAATATCCACTTTAGATTATTTCCTCGTGCTTCTTCTTCTTCTTCTCTTAATTACAATTGTTTTACATATATAATGACAATAGTAGCTTTATCTTTCGCGGATCTGCGTGATCGTCTATTTTTTTTTTCCTATTTCATAAATAAGTTGAAGAGAATACATCCTCTATATTTCCTGTCATAAAATTTTTGTCCATGATCTTGGGATTTTTTATTTTTGGTCACAAAGACCATATCTATGCATCACGTCCATACACAGTGTTGATGACTACCAGATCGTGTCATGCTTACTTATTGACTAGTACTATTCACCAAAATCTTTCTTATTTTTTTGTTGTTTAAGTAATTAATACTGTTTTCATTTAACTCAATATGATCAATCATTTAATCACAGGGCTTAGATCTTGCCTGACCTTCTTACATATTGCTTAAAATATAGATGACCTCTCTTTCTCATTAGCCTGATATATAGAAATTCTTCACCTAGCGATCTACCTAGTATTTTTCATATATATGGATCTCTTGCTACTTTCCGTTCTAGCTCTAGCTCTGATTTTCCTTTTCATTTTTCTATCATTTTTTTTTCACACCAGCATATATTCAAAAATATATATATTTTCCTGTAATTTGCTACGATATATATCCTCTTCTCCATGATATATAAATAGGTTATATATATATATATACAGCTCTATGAACGTAAATATGCATACATGTTCACGAGTTGAAGTCATTGAGTTCTTCCTCTCTTCTGTTAGATCTCCCATATACTCCATTTTTGTCCCGAGAATGTTTTTTTCCTCGCATATTCATATCTAAACATATATATTTAAACATAAAATCTTCCAATTCAGACCTTTGTGCGTTTAAATACAATATGGTTTTCTCGTTCTCTATCTGAATATTCTTCTGACGGTTTTATACTTTTTTTCCTTCAATAATTTTAATTCTTGCACCGCATAAATATACGAAAAAAAAAGTGATCAGATGTTTGGGTAGTACTTTTACGTACAAACACCAAATCAAATTGTTTCTATATACGTTATGTATGTTTGTGTGTGTGTTTATTACGCGTGGATTACTTATATTTTTCTATCGACGCACTAAAAATGTGTATATTGCAGGTTATAATTATAAGAAGCACAGTATTATTTCAGCCATCAAAATGGGAAGAGGAAAGATAGAGATAAAGAGGATTGAGAACACGACGAATCGTCAAGTGACATTCTGTAAGCGAAGAAATGGACTTTTGAAGAAAGCTTATGAACTCTCTGTCCTCTGTGACGCTGAAGTTGCTCTCATTGTCTTCTCCAGTCGTGGCCGTCTCTATGAGTACTCTAACAACAAGTAACTAATTTTTTTTTTAATTATTGTTATTATTATTATTCATACCACCTCTTTTCTGTTTCTTAATCATGATCACTTTTTTCTCTTTTCGCGTTAAGTTATTTGGAATCCATTAATTAAAGTTCGTTTTTGTCATATAACTAGGAGATCATTATATCGTGCTTGCACTAAACCAGATCAATGTTTTGGTTTCCTTTTTATTGGGGAAAGTCAGACTATTTTCCTTATTTAGGTTTGAGATTATTTATTTAATAGTGTTCTTGATTTGACCTTTGTTGCTTGCTTATTAATTGCACGAAATTATATAAGCATTATTTAACGATCCTTAATATTTCTTGTGTGGTTTTAGAATATAGTGTGTGTAAATAATGGTATAATAGTTATAGACATACATGCTTTTGATTCCAAGATTAGTAAACTAAATCCGAAAAAAAAAAAAAAAAAAAAAAACAACGACAACAACAACTTGCAATCGATGAGCTACATTTACTACTACTAGCTAGGTCTCTCTAGGGTCAGCTCAAAGAGAAAACTTTTACACCAATTTGGCCTACTTTATCTTAAAAGAATCGTCTCGATCTGCTGGGTATCTTTTCAATATCTTCATTTTAATTAATACATATACATCATCATTTTCAGTGTTTTGTATTGTTAATACATGAGAATCCGTGATGCATGGCTCGGCATAAATAAAAAGCGATTTCTCTCTAGTAATTGTAGTTCCGTTCTTTCCTTTTCCGATGTTTGCTCCACAACTCTGAGCCCATTTTCTCCTCTTTCCAAATTTAGCTGAAGAGTAACTCTTACCTTCTGTTTGCCCCTCCTATAGTCGTAGCAAGTAATCATTTTTATCCTTTTTGTTTGTTTTCTTCTCTGTGATCAAAAGGGTTTTTGAAACTTATTCCCACCGAAATATATGTATATATACATATATTATATATGTATGGCATCATATCATGTTTTGCATGTAATTATATATCTTAACAAGGACTTGTTGAGACTATAAACGAAAATGAAACCGAAGAGATCTGAGTTCTTCTGAAATATGCAGTACTAGTGTTGCACAAATTTTGGTTTACTTTATCTGCAAAAAAATCAGTCCTTGCTAGCTAGCAGTAGCAAGGTATCTTTTTTCTTGTTTTATCATTTCTGCAGTTTCCTGTAACCAAAGAATTTAATTGCTTCTACTAGTTGTGTTTCTGATCCTTTCCTCTTCCATTAATGTTTGTGAGATACTGGGATATATATCCTAGTGTTCACTATGGTCTTCCTTTTTCCAATTTTAGCTTTGAAGTAAGAGATCTTGACAGTAAACTATTTCATATATCTTTGTTTGGTTTTCTTTAATTACTTTCTAAGATAAACAATCTGCGATTTGGATATTCTTGGCCAGTCCTTTCCTCTTTCTTGTTCAACCAAAAGATCAGTGAAATCCCTTTTTATTGTTTTTTTTTTTTTTTTTTTTGAAGGGAAAGCAAAATCACGTTTTAGTGATAATTTATAAAATTTGTACGTTTCTTCCAGAATATGGATCAGCAGTACGGTGTTTGCATGTCCATCTTTTGGCCATCAAATCATCAAGTTTTTAATAGATGATCATTTATTATGGCTTCCATTTGGTAATTGTGAAAATTTTGACTCTTTTACAAGCCTAATAGGTTTGCTACTTTGTCACGCTATAATTATACCTGAACAAACAAGGCCAAAGTAATTAATAAGTTCATAATAACAAACACAAAGTATGTGTTCTTATATCATAGGCGTTTTTTTTTTTTTCTTTTTGGTTGGAAAATCTTAGGCGTTACTAGTCACTCCTCCGCCTAACAAAGTTAATATTGAGATCATATAGTTTCAAAGCTGACCTACAAGAAGAGAGAGAGAGAGAGAGAGAGAGACTAGAGAGAGAGAGAGAGAGAGAGAGAGAGAGAGAGGATAATGCGCTTTAATTTTATAATGAAGTTCACCTAGCTAGTGTTTTCTGATCTAGTGATCAAAACAATCCATATATAGAACTTGAGTCTGTTGAGTTGTCTTTTCTTGTTTTTGTTCCTGGGTTGTATTCTTAAGATGTTGGGAAATTGTAGGAAGTCATGAAAAATTTTGTCGATTGGTTAAATCATTGTGATCATACTTTCTCTTCAGATGTTTAATCTACACCTCCTGTAAATGAACAAAGCAGAAATTAACAATATTAATTTTAGGCGATAAAAGTATACATTCTAGTTGAGTAGTACTGCACAAAGTAATAAACTTAAACCAAGCAAATTTGTTTGTTAATGTTTGTTGTTTATAACTGGCGTGCAGCATAAGATCAACAATAGACAGGTACAAGAAGGCAAATTCAGATAGCTCAAGTGCAAGCTCCATTATAGAAATAAATGCCCAGGTAATATTTAATTAAGTAGTTAGCTATATATAGATGATTCGTATCTTTTTAAAAAAAAAAAAAACAATTCGTGTATATATATTTTTACTCTATCACGCGATATACATGTACTTTAGGTTCACTTGAAAATTAATGTATATAAAATCTCTCCTTTTTTATCTCGATCTTTTTAATTTTTCGCTTCTTATATATAAAACTGATGTATATTTGCGCAGTATTACCAACAAGAATCAGCAAAGCTGAGACAGCAAATTCAAATGCTGCAGAATTCTAATAGGTGAGTCCCGTTATTCTATGTTTATATTTTTTGTGCATGTGTAGATATATATATATTGAGCATCCTTATTAATGATTAACAAATTTAGCTGTAGTGAAATAAATTAAAATATTTTTCATTTCTCAACATATATGGATATATATGACGCACTGATGATTAATCAAATAGAAATTAAGTATTGAATAACTGAAAAATGGATCTACTCTCATATATGTTACATTTATAGCAAGTTTTAATAATGATTGTTTTTCAGTATTAATAATGAATAATAAAAAGTAATATTAACATATTTAACTAACCTAAACCCGTTTGCAAGTCAGAGTCTTTAATTAAAAAATTTAGCCATAAAAAATAAGATATTTTGTTAAACGCAACAGTTACAAAATAAGAAATAAGAAACTATCGAAATTAATTAAAAAGTTTATAGTTAGATGGTGAGTTCTCGCTGAATTAATAGTTATTTAGTAAAAATATTTTTGTCGTGACTAAATAATTAATAATTTATCACCAAAATTCTGTTTATTAGTAGTTTTCATATGCATCTCACATTGTTTATAGGCACTTGATGGGTGATGCCTTAAGTTCGCTTTCCGTCAAAGAACTGAAGCAGCTGGAGAATAGACTTGAAAGAGGCATTACCAGAATCAGGTCGAAGAAGGTGTGTATATATGTATATAATTATATATATATATATATAAAGACTGCTAAAAAAGCAAGCTAGATGTTAATTAAATTTAATCATACGCTTGACATGCATATTTAGCCAACCCCCACCCAGAAAAAGAAATAAAAAATTACTGTTCTTGCTTCTTGCGACAACTAGTCTCCTCCATCTTCATGTATATATGTGTATGACACACATGCATATATATATATATATATATATAATCTGTGTATGTTAGATACTTAGATATTCCTCTCTTTTTAATGCTTTTTTCTTTTTTTTGCCCTTTTTAACCTGTGCATGGCGGCGATAGCATGAAATGTTGCTAGCAGAAATTGAGTATCTGCAGAAAAGGGTAATATATTCTTTTGTTTCCATATCTTCATGTGTAGATATAGATACCTCTTTTGAACTGTTATTGAAGCTCTTTATTCAACTAAAGTACACTATTTCTCTGTTATAGGAAATGGAGCTGGAAAACGAAAATGTCTGTATACGCACCAAGGTAATTTACAAGTGGTTAGAATTAAGCAAAATATACATGTTTAATGTTTTCACTGAAAGAGCTGACGTTTTCCTAAAATCCATAGTAGATCATTATATTACAAGGTGATGATCCTATGCATTTGCTTCCTTTGATTTCAGTATTTATTTTTATTTTGGCTATAACAATATATATATATATATATATAATTAGTTTCCATCTTATGTGGTGTTGTTTCTAAACTTCAGATTTCAGAAGTTGAGAGGCTTCAACAAGCAAACATGGTTTCTGGGTCAGAGCTCACAGCAATCCAGGCATTAACTTCTCGCAATTTCTTCAGCCCTAATCTAATTGAGGGCCCCGGACCCGCCTTCTCTCATCTAGACAAAAAGATTCTTCATCTCGGGTACTAATACATTTCATCTCTCTCTCTCTCTCTCTATACACACAATACATATATATATATATGTATAATCCCTTTTGACGTTTTGTATTCGTTCTGCGATTATGCAGGTGAGAGAGCTCTCTCAGAGAGGAAATCTGGAAATGGTATCTCAACCTCATATTATCTTAAATAAAGATATCATAATTATCAGCTACTCTATCGGTATTTTGTGTAACAGAATCAGTTCATCAATGGTTTATGCAACTGTCTTTTATATGGTCGTGCTTAACTAGCACTCTAGCTGTTGGAAAATTAAACCCTTTGAATGCAGAAATGTGCTTGCTATAAGGATTTCTATGTATTTAAATACGTATGTTAATTGGGTCTCCGGAAGATCAGTTGTATGGTTCTAGCAAAACCTTCGTATTTAGCTAAAGAGATCTCATTTTGAGACTATTATTAGTTGATAAGTTAATTAGTCATGGTACGAATGATGATGTTGTTGGAAACTGTCATCAGAAATTTGATAAGTTAGTGATGATGATGTTGTTGGAATCTGTCAGGACCCGTTTAATTTACTGATTCGAGTTTTTAATTTGAGTTGATATGTGATTTTTGTGAGAACTTTTTACTGTAACAAAAAAATTAAATGTGATTGTTTCTAAGAGTTTTTTATTATAACAAAATTTAAATTTTAAACTCGAATCGATAAAATGAACATATACTTATTTTTCTTCTCTAACTTACGAGCCATAGATTTATCAAAAAAAAAAAAAGTACGAGACATATATAACCCATGGGGATTGAGGATATCGTTACACTTTACAAGGTTGATTACTAGTTGAAAACTTCGTGATTCTATCATATTATCAAGTTCTGCGTGTCATACAAAGATTAATAAAATTTCCTACTTGAGCCAACTTATAAAATTTAAAAACTAATAATAAAAGGTTTGCTCTGTAAAGGTGGTGCATTCCGAGGATAGGCAGCCGGCTCACCCGAAATTTCTTTTCTTTTAATTCTTTTTTTTCTCAAATTATATATTATGTCCACCGTGTCTCAAAATCTGAAATTATACAAAAATGTTCAACCCAAGAGATATCCGATTGTTGTTTTTCGTTTTTTTTTTAATGCAGGTTTGGCGAGTTTTGCTCGAAACTGTTCTTGTTTTGGCGGCCAGGGCACATAAAATCGAGAGCTGAACCGAAAATTAATATACGAATCCTGTAACATTTCAGGAGGATAGAGATCAACCGGGACTCAAGCGAGCTTTGATTGATTTTCATGAATGGTTGGGGCGGATTTCTACGTGTTTAAAACTCGTTCTAAAATAATTTTATTTTTTTGTATAAAAATAAAAATGAAAATATTTTCAATCTCAGATAGATTTTATTTTTAAAAATACATTTGATAATTTTATCAAGAGATTATTTTCAGTGTAAAAAAACCTATTAATATATATATATATCTCTCTCTGCTCAAGAGAGGAAAAAACGAAAACAAAAAATAAAAAACGACTAAAAATTATTTTTCATTTATCTCATTTTACACTAAACCAAAAAATCATTTTCATTTCCGTTTTTTATCTTTATTGCGTCCAATGTTGTTTTGAAAACGTTTTCATTTTTTTTTCTCGAAAAACATGAAAAATAAAATTAGGATCAATTCCAAACACGGCCCTTATTTCCCATATGCCAACCAAAAGTCAAATGGTCACTGACCAAAAACTTTGAAAAATAAATAAATAAATAAATAAATAATGCAGCTATAAAAATTAAAAAATAAAAATAAAAATAAAAATAAAAATAAAAATAAAAGAAAGAGAGAGAGATTCAAGGCTCTTCATACCTCATTAGTCATAAAGCATAGATATAAACAGTATTAACTGAAATTCATCGTGAACAGAAAAATATGGCTATTTAAACACCCTATAAAGACCCATATTGCCTACGAGAAAATAACGTACCATAAAACATCATAGTACAGAATATGTTTTAGAGAAACGAACTTATGTAAATATTGTTCCCAAATATGAAATACCATATTAGATCTTAACAATAACTACATTCACAGGATGGCACACCGATTTTCACCTCTTTTACGGAGCTCCTCATGTGCTTGCTCCAGATGTTCTCTAAGCTTCCGAATTTCCTCATCTGATCTGAACTGAGCTTTCTGCGCATTCTCTTCTGCCTTCAGTCTTGCTGCTTGCTCTTCCGCCAACTGTTGCTCAAGCCTACTAGTTGTCTCCCTCAACTTCGACTCGACCTGAGCGATATTTTCATTTGAGTAGGCAAAAAATTAAGATTAGAATGAGAATCCAACAAAATGCTACCTTCAAAAGAAAATTTTAAACGCGGAAAACCTATTCAATCCCAACCACCTAAGCCGAGGCGCCAATAAGATCCAGAACAGCTAAAAGCACGTAAAAAGAGAATCATGGCAACAAGATTAGCTATATGGAGTCCATATGTTAATCTAAAAGGTTAACAGATCAGCAAGCATTGAATAAGTCCAACTGCTTCCACCTGTTTTCCCCTTTTACCCAAGGAGACAGTGAAATGCATATTGACTCATTATATGTAACATGACCAAATGAATCATAGTGTTTGAAACCCTCATCTAGTTTAGTTTTCATCACAATTTCCCTAAGAACAAAAATTTCAAGCTTTCCTTGTTCTTTTTTTTTTTTCTTTTTTTGGTAGACTATTTACTTAAGCCTCGTTCATTTCACCGATTCGAGTTTTCAGTTTTAAGTTTCTACAGTAAAAGGCTCTTAGAAAATATCACATCTAACTTTTTTTGCTACAGTGAAAAGCTATCAGAAAATGTCACATCTCAGCTCGAATTGAAAACTCGAATCCGCGAAGTGAACGAGGTCTTAGATACTTGACTTCATCCTGTCATACCAACGCTGTTACAAATGCTATCTAATAGTATCAAGGTTTTAGTCTCTCCAGTTTAAATATGTAGGAAACCTTTTAAATAGCCAACAACTATAACTCGCATATGAATTGTAGCATCCATCATCGTTATCTAAGTCCATATAACATTCTAGAACTCTACACAAACACCAGTAATTTTTTTCCCACGAAAGAGATAACAATTGAATCACAAATTCTAGTTAGTCCAATTTTATATGACCATACTCATTTTGGTAATCCAGGTTTTCTTTTTCAAAATCCAAACCACGCTCCTTTTTTTCCCTCTTCCAAACACCAATCAAGATTATATTCCCAGTTCAAATTGAGAATTGTGATTCAAATCAAACCCATGAAACAAACAATTGCTAAGGTCTCCAAAGAAAAATGCAGGCAAAAAAAAAAAAAAAGAAAAAAGATTGATGATGAAATGCAGAGAAATGAAATACCATCTCAGTAATTCGTTTAAGCTGCTCGTCATATGACTTATGCATCAGCTCCTTCATCTCTGATATTTCTCGTTTAGTATATTTTTCCAAGGATAAAGAGTCAACCTCTTCTTGTTGATCACGAAGTCTCATAGCCCCCTGCTGTCGAAGAAAAAAAGGGCATCAAGAGCTTTTAGAAGGAATACAGTAGTGAAACTTCTAGACATAACACGTAACCTTTACCTTCTGCTCCCAAATTAGAAATAGAAATAAACGTACTTACCTTCACTTCAGCAAATATCTCATCTGTGTACGGTTGTCCACCATTCTGTGCAGTGACCTTGTTTACAAGGGAGAGAAGCTGCTGAACTTGATAAAACTTCTTGCTTTCATCCTTAGTCTTATTATCAAAAAGCACAAGGCGATTTTCACAGAGAGTGATAATGTCCTGTATCATCATATTATTTAAAAGATTACTAAAAGTTAGACTTCATATTGAAAAACCAAGACCAATAGAGTTTAGTTGTTTAGATAAAAGATATAATTCCAGCGTAAATCAACATATCGGAGAAATATAGTTATGCAAGATCATTTTCACGGAATTGAATTTTACTCCAAAGTACTAGCTTAATGGGCTTTGAAAAAGTCTGTTTACGGTTCTCTAGTTATAGCAGGGACAATGTGGTAGGTTAGTCTTTGCCAAAAAATAAGGTGCAGAGTGGGACATTTCTGGATTTCACCAAATCTTTTAGCATGTAAGGCATACACAAAACCGATTCTTAGCCAAAGATAATGTCAGTTTGACTTCTTATCTGACAACTTTGCTGAAAGAGGAAATATTCTTAGTCAGTTATATACATTAAAACGGAAAATTGCTTGGCAACCGCCAGAGGTCAACATGGCTGAAAAATGGTGGTGCTAGATTAGGCTGAGTTTCCAAAACAAAACAAAAAACAAAAAACAAAAAAAACTAAACTAAACAGAAAAACTAAGGTAAAGTGTAATGTAAGTGACCTTTAAGGGCTCAGGACATTCGCGGCCCAAGTAATCTTCCAAAGACTCATCATTATCCTCGAGTTCGTCTCCCCCAGTAAACACTGCAATCATGTAATCAAAAATTTTGCTACCAAATAAAGTTTGCAAGCTGTGAAGAGCAGCTTGCTCTTCTTGCGAAAACCGAGTCCTGACAGAGAAAACCACAAGGACTGCATGGATCCCATCCTTGGCCAAGTTAATGCACTTGACAATTTCTTTGCCAACAAACTCAGATCCAGCAGAAAAATCAAAAAGCCCTGCAATGGAAAAGACACAGCATATACAAATAAGTTCTTTAAACACATGATACACTATACAGTGCCTTCTCAAAAAGGATAATCTATTAACTTCTTTATTTCATACCGGGAGTGTCAATAACATTAATAATATGGTCATCTCTCAGGACGGTCCTCTGCAATTCACAAGTGCTCGTAACACCGGAAGAACTCGCCCTCGACTTGAAGGCCTTTCTTCCAAGAATGCTGTTACCAGTTGCACTTTTACCATTGCCTGTTCGCCCGACCAAAACAACAGTCCGAACCCCATTCGAAGGGGAGGTAAGTTCCCAATCATCCTCTATTGAATTTCCACCCATTTTGAAAATATCAGATTACCTGCTCCAATTCAGCCATATATATTAATAAATCTTTCCATTACTTCCCTGCTATAAAAATTAAAAATCAACAAAAAGTGCATCTAATAACTATAATAATTTTTGTCAAGAAATCTAAGTTCTATAAACACAAAAATCAGATTATATGTCAATGCTCATCTAATTTCTCATAACACCGTCCTTAAATTTCTCATTATTCTCAAGTGACCGATGTATTTTACAACTTTTCATGTAATTTTCGCAGCAAAAAAAAAAAAAAAAATTTCTCATGAAATTTCAGAGTGAAAGAGTGGATAAAGTCGTCAACTTTATAGGTTTCATACAGAAATCGAACGAACAATCCTAATACTTGAAGCAAATATAGAAAGCAATGGATTGACATAAGCATAAAAATAGTCATCACTTATAATCCAAAACTCAAGCTTGATCATCAATATCCTCAATTGATCATCCTTCTCATTAATTACCGATCATCAATCAGACAAAAAAAAAACTTTCACGCAGAGAATCCAAAAGCCATCTTATCCATGCTCACTTGCTTTTTTTTTTCTTTTTCTCGGCGACCAAACAACACGTAAAATATTTTCCCCCAAATAAACTTCCAAAAAAAAAAAAAAAAAAATCCAACCCAAATTGGCGATTCCAAAGAATTGTAAAAATCAAGAATACCATTGAAAGTCAGATCAGGAAGAGATACTTACCTGAAGGGGTGACAGAAAGCTAAGAATGACAGATAACGAAGAGATACTTACTTGAAGGGGTGACAAAAAGCTAAGAATGAGAAGCACACCAAACGAGAGCGAGAGAGAGAGAGAGAGAGAGAGGCGATTAATCTACTCTACTTTCCTTACTTTTGAATTTTATATTTATATGTCAAGATAATAATTTAACGAAAAGTTATAAATTAAAAAAAACAGGGATTTTTTTCTTTTTTCCAATTTGTAATGGGGGAGACTTGAGACATGAAACTTGGAATGAGAATACAACGAAACTTATACGGTGAGAGAGTGAGATGATGACAACTGCGGTATAAGGGACCTCTAACTGAAATTTAAACGGATTAGATTAGATCGCGTAGGACCCACATCATGCATTGGCGCACATCAAGGAATTTAACGGATAAGATTAGATTAGGTGTGTCCACACACGTATTTTTGTAGATTCAAGAAATTAACGAGAAAAATTCAGACATTTAAATTAACTTTTTAAAATCTAAATGGTAAGCCCAATAAAATAAAATAAAAAAAAAACTATTAATTTGAGGAGAGAGACCAAAAGAGGACCAAATCTAATTTATACACCTATCTACTATAATAAAATTAAAACCACTGTATTAAAAAATAAAAAAAATAAAAAGCTACGGCCCACCTGGTGCCCTTGATTCGTGATTGATTGTATATGATAATCGTGAAGAGAGTTCCTTTAAAAAAAAAAAATCGTGAAGAGAGCTAAACACACTTTACTTCACACTCTTATTCATATTTATTTTTAGGTCCTTTTATTTTTGCAAGTGTCTACTCAACCTTATCAAACAATCACATTTAAAAACCCGTTCACTTCGCTGATTCGAGTTTAGAATTCGAGTTTAGATGTGACTTTATGTGAGAGCTTTTTATTGTAGCAAAAAAGTTAGATGTGATTGTTTGTGAAAGCTTTTTACCGTAGAAAAACTCAAATTCTAAATTCGAATCAGCGAAATAAACAGGACCTTATTTTGTTAATATATTTTCAAGAGTGCTAATATTCCTCTTTGAAGCTGAACCCCATGTTCCCACCCTTTTTTTTTTCACTCGCTATTTACCCAAAAAAAAAAAAAAATGCTACCTTGCCCCTTATGCATAATATATACAATATATGTATCAAATTTAACTCTTTCAATAATTAAATTTGATACATATATTATATTATTCTTGGTATCCTAAAATTCAAATCCGGGAGGAAAATGGCATATTTCTAGTGTTTTTTTTTTTTCATTTGTGACATACATATTTCTAGTTTCTTCTTGGAACTGTATTTCTAGGATCATAATAAAAATAGTTGACATTTTCTCAATATTTCTGATTAGTTGACCCATCTTTTTCATATATTTTTTTTATGTGTTTGCTTTCTCATTAAGTAACAAATGCAAAGTTAATGATTATTTGACTTTTGTGGGAATCAGAATCGATAATTTCTAGGTATACCTCCACCATTAGTACACTAATCTTGCAACAGTTAAAACTACTTTTTTTTTTTTAACATCAAAACGACCATTTTATAAGCTTTAAAAGTCAGACTATTTTCAAATTATTTTTCTCCAAACCAGCTATATCGATCAAAAAATGAGAAAGGGGTAAATAACTTTTTTTTTCCTTGTTTTCGCAGGAAATAAATAAATGAAAGATCTTTTTTTTTTATAGTTAGTAAATAGAAGAAATCTATTTAAAAAAAGGGAAGAAATCTGGTATTTACACATTTATTTTATCAAATGATCAGATTAATTTACTAGATCAAATTTGATAAATTTGATTATTAATTGAATCGAATAATCAAATTTAGTAAATTCAGGATTTATCTAAATTTACCTCATAATTAAATTTGATAAAAATGGGATTTACTGAATTTACTCCCATGAAACCCAAAATATATATTTTTTCTTTTATTTTATTTACATATTATTTATTAATTTTTTTAGTCTACAAACACATTTTTACCCTTTCAAATATTCTATTTTTAAATAAAAGTACAATTGTAATAAAGAAGTTTTTTCTTACCTCAAATTAAAATTTGAACTATGAACTTGAAAGTGGAGCAAAAAATAAAATTAATCATTCGATTATGCTTCTATTTACTATCATACCCCTTTATTTTTTATCAAGTAAGTTGGGCTTTTACATCAACAGTCCAATTCACTTGACAAGCCCAAGCCCTAATTCCGCTGGCCCTGATCGGGTGCTTTCCCTTCCCATCAATCATCGTGCTTCGTGCGTGACCAACCCAATCCCAGAAATCCCAATTCCCACATTTTCTCGGCGAGTTTTACTTTTCTCAAGAAACAGAAAGAAAAAGAAAAGGGCTTCTTGCGGCGAAAATCAAAACTGCAAATAGCGTCGAGCGAGTGTTCATCACTCGTCCGATGTATTTGAACGACAAATTAATCGAATTTCATTTTTGAAGCAAAGATTCTGGAGATGAAGGACCCATTGTCGAGGACCAAGGCTGTCGTACGGCGTTTGCCTCCGTCGCTGTCGCAATCGGATCTCTTCCAACAAATCGACGATCGCTTCTCCGGTCGCTACCACTGGTTTTGCTTCCGTCCCGGAAAGAACAGGTTTTAGGGCATTTTCCTGTAAATTTATTCTGTCTATATATATGTATATAATATATATTTAAATGCCTGCAAATTAGAGCTAAAATATTGTTTGTCATTAGGAAATTTCCTTTTTCGTTTTGCCCTATCGGGTAGGGGTTATTGTCGACTTTGTTTCCGTTTAGTTTTTAAATTTTTTTTTTGGGTTTTTTTTTTTTTTTTTTTTTTTTTGCGGTGTTGTGGAATGATTGTTTATTGTACTCAATACAACTAATTGGTTGAATATAGTGAATTACGGTATGATGGAAATCAATCTTTGTTGCGATCTTTTTTTATGCAATTGATACAAAGTTGGGATTTTTTTTTTTTTTTTTTGTGTTTATAATTTGAAAAATAAAAAATAATGACAAGAGGTTTTTGTGTTATGCGAATGTTGCAGCCAGAAGCATCAGAGGTATTCCCGAGCATATATAGACTTCAACAGAGCTGAAGATGTTTTGGAGTTTGCTGAGTTTTTTGATGGGCATGTCTTTGTTAATGAGAAGGGTAATTAGCCGGCGAATTATTTTATTCTTTAGCAAGGGTATGAGTGGATGTACAAATTCTTTTATGCAGCCAAAACAAAATTAGAAAAAAAAAAAAAATAGTTTACAGAGTCCTGTAAAGGAGATGCTTGATGATTTGAAAAATGGAAAAATGTGTTCATTCCAGCTGAAGAATCTTACCGTATTCATTATGATGATTAAAGTGCCGTTTGTTTCAGGTGTTCAGTATAAGACTGTAGTTGAATATGCTCCCTCCCAGCGTGTTCCAAAACTGTCTACTAGGAAGGATGGTCGTGACGGGACCATATATAAAGGTACCAACTTAGTACATTTTTTGCTATGTTACCAATCGTATATGTATCTCTTCCTGGTGTACCCTGAGTTGTTCTTTTTGGTCTAAATTGTTACTACATCTTGTATGAAACAGATCCTGATTATCTGGAGTTCCTCAAACTCATTGCAAAGCCCGTTGAGCATCTTCCTAGTGCTGAGATACAGTTGGAAAGAAAAGAAGCTGAACAAGCTGGTTGGTCTTCTTCTTACTTGTTATGTTCATTGCTTTTATGTGTCCGTTCACACTATGAATAATTTAATTGACTACAGGAAAGTTATACTTTTTCTAATTTTCTCCTACAATCTTATGTGGCCATGAACACCACATAAAAATTTATCGGCATTGGCTACCCTTGTATGGGCTATTTGCCTGAATCCACTAGGGGCTGTGCCCAGAAACTTTCTGTTGGCATAGTCACAAAAATTGTGTTTACAATTAAGTTTTTCCTCTGGTAATGACATTTTTTTGTCGTTTATGAATCAGGTGCTCCTAAAGAAGCCCCTATTGTTACACCCCTTATGGAATATGTTCGTCAGAAACGATCTATTGAAACTGGAGCTCAGGTAACTAAATCTTTTTGTTTCTTTTCATGCATTTTAAAAAAATTAAAGTTCCAAAACGTTTAGCCTGTACTAGTTGCACCTTTTCCATCACCATCTCTCCCCGGTTTATTGATCTGTCTAATGTGGGATGTTTGTGTTTGATAATAGGGTTCATTAGTTGTTAGGAAGATCAGCAGAAGATCTGGGGCGGGATCTACACGAAAGCCTGGCTCATCTTCTGCTAAACGAGCTTCTGAGAAGAAAAAGGTAGGGATCATCTAATTATTTGCACAATTAGACTCTTTGTTTTCTTTTGAAGGTTGATGATCAAGTTGAACAGCCATTCCGTTCTTTTAATTTCCTTCTTTCACGATCTCTTCGTCCTCATGAGTTTGGTGCACCCTTACTCATGTGTGAAATAAAGGGGTGTTTCATTGACCTAAAATTGAAGCCATAAGAAACGTGGCCTGGCTGGCTTTATTTGCCTGGCTGCCTTAAATTTTTCTAATGCCTCTTTCTTACTGTATGATTGCTGTATGAAGTTCTATTGCATCAGAGATTAGGGCTTGCTTGTAGCCTTGTCTAAAGTTTCTTCTGATTGGCAGTATATATTAAAGGAGAAAACTAAAAATACAAGTCGGAAGGACAAGTCAACTTTCACTGTGGTGCCTAGGCGAGAGGATCAACTGGCAACTTCAACAGGGAAAGAAACACATGAAACTGAAATTGGTGCTTGTCTTTCTGTCTTTCCATTTTCTTTTCGGTTATGAATCATAATATTGTTGCTTCTTATGTTGTAAAAAATGCTTTACTTTTTCAAACTGTAAAACCAAGTCTCTTTGGAGTTAAAAACTGAAGGTTGCTTGGCCCCATTGTTTTGTTTTTTGTTTTTTCAGTTTTTTTCATTGAAAGAAAATGATAGATATTATGGCACTTTATGCTGATTGACATATTAGAATGGTATCGTTTGGTATAGGTCCTGTTACTTCATCACTATTAAGAGTCCACGCACATACGTGGATGTGATTAAAGAGGGTGGTCAATATCTTTTTTCCCCCCTACTAACTCTTCTCTAATTTTACTTAAAAAGCAAAAGACATTAACCTATGACATGCATCTGCCTCAGACTGATGAATGCAAACTCATGCAATGTGGTATATTCTCTTCTGATGATCTTTTCTTTATCTGGTTTTATAGTCTCTGCAATTGAAGGTTCTGTTTCTGGTATACCTGTGATTGCTGATTCTGGAAAGAAGAAATTCCTGCTTCTTAAAGGGAAAAGGCCAGAAACACCTGTAAGTGTTTTTGTTAATGTTATTATTATTATTTTTTCCATTTCACTTTGTGCAATTTTTCATACTTTGCTGCCTTTTTCTTTCTCTGTCATCTAGTTTGATAAGCTTTGTTACAGTCTCTCTCGTTAATATGTCACTGTGCCTTATGATGGCTCTCTTATGCTGCCCTAGGTTCCAACGGGCATGTTACAGCAGCAGGATACATCATTTGGAAATTCTCCTGTTTCAGCTGCTCCGAAACACAATCAGAGGCGTGAGGCTGGTGGAAGGTTGATCAGAAGCATACTATTGAATAATGAATCTCGTCAAGCTCAGACTTCAACCCCAGGCCAGCATCAGCAGAAAGTTCAAATTTCGAACTCTGAAAATGTGAAGCGGCTACCAAGGCCCTCCTCTAATTCAAGGTCTGGGCTGAACGGCCATGTCTCGCACAATGACCCTGAATGGGACAGAAAAAAGGATCTAGATGACAAGTTTACAAAAAAGGACCTGCATAATATGAGTACTGCTAGCGAGAAGCCGGAAAAACGCACAAGAAATAAAGATAGGCCTGATCGTGGCGTTTGGGCTCCCCTTCGTCGTGGTGATGTTTCACATTCAGGTGAGGAGCGCATATCATCCTCAGTCTCACAACCTACTCACTCAGTCTCTGATACTGTTGAAGGTATGGGTTTCTTTTTACAAGTCTTCTTTTCATGCTTAAAAGAAAACTAGGGAAGTTGTGGACTGTGAGTGGAGGCAATAGGTTTTCTTTAGAGTTGAATGGTTAATCTTTTCCTCCAAAGCCAGACATGAGTTTTGGGTCTCATTACCACCATTCTATTGCAGACTGTTATTATTATTCCGGTGAAACGAAATTCTAGTTAAACTTATTCCTGATCCTGAACACAAATTCTTTTCCTTGCTCCAGGTTCTCATAGAAATTTTGGACGTCGCGGAACTGCCCACAATGTGAAAGATGAGGTCCCCCAAAATGTGAGTGAGGGAAAGTCTTCTAAACGAGGGGCTACTGTTCATGGTGCCCATGAGGTATGAGTCATGTTTCTCGTAGTAGTTGCTGCATCATTATTTCCCTTTTTGTTTGCAGTTTTTTCCCTAAGCAGTTGTGCTGTTTTACTTTTATGCAGAAACAAGTATGGGTGCAGAAATCATCTGCAGGTTCCTAGGGTATCTAGTTGGTAAGTTCTTATTATTTGCGTTTTTTTTTCCTCTGTCCTTTGTTCTTCTTGTCTTTTTGTTATTTTACAATGCAATAAAGTTACACAGTGTATTTTTTTATTGATAAAGGGGTATTTGATTTTAATAAGGAAAATTTTTCATTGTATATTTAAATTCTCCGAAAAAAGATTATATAAGTAAAGAATATAAAGGGGAAACTTCCAGCTCCAGACAACAATCTGTTGCAACTGTTAGAATGTGCATTGTGGGTCCCCAAGTAACAACAACAATGTGTGTGGTATCCTTCCATCCAACTCCGTCATTTTCATACCATTAATTGACCATAAACAAAAATTTAACAGGTCAAATATAACAAAAATTTAAATAAACTCATAGATTGCCCTTTTGATGGGTCAATACAGAGGGAGTTGGACAGAAGGATCACACACACTGTTTTCGTCCCAAGATTTAAATTTTAACAATTTGGGACCTAAGAGGAGTACTTGTAAAAGGTTGGGGGCCAGAGCCACAATTTTTCCAGTATAACGAAGTGAATTTCCAATAAACTATTTTGTAATACCTAGTTAGTAGCACTGATTACAACCATTTTTGTAGCAAACATAAGCAGTTTTCTGGAATAACGAATTGTTTTTGTCCATGAAACATTAAACTTCTCTTCAAGCATTTATGTATTGGAGAAAAGCAAGATGTCTGTGGTAGTTGATCTGCCTTACTTTAAGCGTCATACAGTATGCGCAAAGTATCAGTCACCTTTGTATATTTATTATTTAGCAAGATATGTCATATTGGTTTACATCGTGATGGTTTTACATCTCTCTATTGAACAGATAATGGAGTTCAATCAGAATTATAATTCCTAAGTGTCAAGGAATTGTTTCTCTTTGTGGCTTACACCCTCAAACGTCATGTCAACATCTCCGGTGCGCCAGCTGCAGTCTGCACTGAAGACATCGTGTAAAGGGCAAAAAATAAAGACGGCGTTTTGTTATGCCAAATATAAGGTACTGCACATGCTGATATTAATTTCTTCCTCATACGAACAACTAACTTCCTTACTGATTCTCACAAGAAAAAATAAAGAGATTCCTTAACTGTATTAAAATTTTCTGTTGTAGACCTGTTATGCTTGTGGACTAGTGGTTATGATGCCCTAATATACAGTGGTCGTCAGGGTGCAGCAAATGCTCATTCGAAGGAGTGCAAGGTGACGTATCCGAGGGACAAGGTGACAAAGTTTGAGGGAAAGATTTTACAATTTCTAAGCCTATGAATTTTAATGGCCATTTGTATATTATAAAAGCATGTGGTGAGGAAAAAAAAATGCTTGGTATGGTCTGAGGATATACTTGGTTTCGCCTTTGTGTAATGGCACTATGAAAAAGTGAACTGTATGGATGGATGCTTCATTAGGTATGGAGTTCTCATTTTAACAAAAGAAATGTGTTGCATCTTCTGCCGACTCACGTTCATAAATCCCATGTAATCGTTGAAGGGAATATAGCACGTTGGTTTTGTGATTGCCATTTTTGCAATTCATTTCAGAATATACACAATCAATTGCTCAGCGTTGTGCAGAGCAAATGGGTGACTAAGAATTGGATGACAAGTAATATAATGCCACGTGGCGAGCAAAAATAATTGTTGTAATGGATGGGTTTTTTTTTTTTTTTTTTTTTTTTTTTCTGTGGAGCATCCGATGATCATGAAAAAAGGAACAATAGCAAGAGTGGGAGACAACTATTTGTTCAGTGGGCATTCAAAAATGATGAATTCCACAAGAATCAACCGACTACACTTCCTCTGTAAAACACATTTCAGTGTGACACTTGCATTGTCTAGGAATAAAATTAAAAATGATTACAATAGACACCTGGGCCACCATATCCTACATACAACCCTGGCCTTACATTAATAGACTCTGTTTCGTGTTCTGTATTTAGTGAGAAAGGGTAAAGGGAAAAAAAAATCATTCTAGATCTAGAACTATGGAATTTGAGCGATTTCCACCAAAATTTTGTGCAATGATTGTGGCTTTGAGAAAAATGGGCAGTGGTCACTGCCTTTTATCTTGAACACTCCCTCTGGTGGGTTTTCCCTCACTAGCTTTTCTTGGACGTCCGGTGAAAGAGCGTGATCATCCAGTGTCTGGATGAAGAACCGCCGGCCGGTCCCATAATTTTCAGGGGATAATGACAATTTCTCCATGATGGGCCCTAATGGAATAGGTCGCATTGACACCATAGCCAAGGCAACATCCTGGATAAACCAAAATCAGTTGTGAAATTTGTACATCAAATTAAGAGTCCACTATGATTTAACCCCTATCTTGGTGAAAAATGCAGGATGCTAGAATCCAATATGATTTAACCACTATCTTGGTGGTGAAGTGATTATAATTTGTATCACAGAATAGCCGAAGCAAGCGTGTATTACTACATTCACTGTCACTCATATTTACATTATCATATAGCGATTGCTTGTGTACAAAAGCATATCTTTATTTTTAACCTACCTTTGTTGGGGATTGGTTGAAATATAAACCTTTCATCTGCTCTTTCTCGAACATAAATCCTGTGGGAGGCTGGTCTTTTCCATTCCCATGAATCAAAAACTTGGATTCTTGCATGAATAGCTCAGCGGATCCAAGCTACAACAGAGGACTCTTTGTGAGAATTGTGAATACACGAGGACTTGAGAATGAATCTAGAATTTAGAAACAAAAACAAATTGCCTTGACATGAAAGACCAAAACAGAATATTTCTTCAAGATATTTGAGGGGGGGTTTTTTTTTTTTTTAAACTATTTCAATTAGATTATTTCGCAGGAGAGTTACAGAATAAAGTTCTCCATCTCAAGTGCAAGGTCAAACCACTAAATTGCAAAAGGAGTGGAAAAGAGCAGTTGATTAAGTAGCATCACCAATTTCTGTGGGGAATTATTTCAGTTTTCGTAAGAAATGGTTGCAAGTCAATGATATCAACTCATCTAATAGCATTACGAGGTAAAGAAAATATACGCATAAAGAAAAGCAAGATATTTTGATATTGTAGTCATAACTGCTGTAAATCACTTCGAGAAAATTTGATAAATCACGGGTTGGTATAATTCATGTTAGGCATTTGCTCATTAGGAATGTAAAGATCGTTTTCCACTGTGAAAACTCAATTAATATTAACCCACCAAAGAATAAACACAAAACTATAACTACCTCTTCTGCAAATACATCAAATGGTCGTTGGCCATCGGATACCATTGTAGCACAGAGAAAAACCACTTTCGAGATCTTTTTTGGAAAATGTTCCATTGCATAAGAAACACACGCACCTCCGCTACTATGACCAACCAGAATAACCTACACAAGAACATCATGCATTATGGACTTGACAGAATAGAAGACCTGCACAGTTCTGTGGGATGAACAAATTACACCATACAAGACCATCTTCTAACCTGTTCATCCTCAGGAAGCTTTTCTAGATAATCAATCAACGGTTTTGAGTACTCTGCCAATGTAGCAACGGCATTGGTATCTGTCAGATCGATACCGGAAGCCGTGAGATCAAAGGCAGTAGGTACTAGTCCCGTTTCCTCCAACAACGAAATCGTTTTATACCAACACCACGCTCCAAATCCTTCTCCGTGTAGTAAAACAAATTTTTTTGTCTTGAGATTTTCAAGAAATTCAGGTACCTATATTGAACAAAAAAATTGAACACATTCACTAAAACAGAAATATGCAGTTATGATCTTGAAATGGAAAGTAGAGCCTTTTCAATTGTATTCTTAGAGAAATGACGACAATGTGAAATTGCCAATGGCCCGAAAATGCCTCAAAATTTTGTAAAACTCATTTAAATAAGTTCAAACCATAAAGTTAGTCACTAGTGTATAACTAACTAAGTTCACGTTATACACGCTATAATTGACGTACTCCAATCCATTTAAAATACTCGTACACTTTTCTTCTAAACGTCTTGCACAGTAGGGAAAAAAAATAATAATAAGAGACAGAAAGTTAACGTGGGCCTTGAAGAAGAAAAAGCAATCTTGAAACACTTTTTCTTCTTCTTAGATAAAGAAAGCTAAATTAAAAATTAGGGAGGGCAAATTGGACTAAGAATTTTAAATTCTTACATCTTTGAACAAGCCATAATCTAGTATTCATGCTTACTTTAAGCACTTTTTTCTAGTCTTTGAAATACACCATTTCTCTTCTTGATCATACGCATTACTTTTTCCCAAATAAAATTGTCCACTTTTTATGGATTTACCTTCAGAGATTACAGATCTTAAAAATCTTCAAAACCTACCCTTTGTTCCTTAATCACAGATCTAATCATGAAAAGAACTGTAATTCAAATCATAATTGCACATGAACCGGCGAATTTTTTAGAGAGAGAGAGAGAGAGAGAGAGGAGAGAGGAGAGAGGAGAGAGAGTTAAAGACCTGTTTGGCGTTGGATAATGGATCGGAGAGATTGTGCCTGCGAGAGCTGGTGGAGCCAATTCTTCTGGACATGGAACCGTCGAACCTCTGAGACAACTGGTGCTGATGAAGAGCCATGGAAAGAGCTTGTCTGTGCAAGAACTCATCGTCGGCGAGAAGTTTCCTCTGCGACCGGTTGTTCATTCTCTTGCTTCTCGATCCATTGTTGTTATTATTTTCCTTCGTATCCTTCCTCGACATGCAAATAAATCGATTTCCCATCGTCGGAAGAAATTCCTTTTTGGTGGTCGAAGGAAGAAAAAGAGGAGGAATCAAGAATTTTAAGGGGAAAATGATGAACTAATTAAGTAAAACGGCATTATAATTACTATTTTTTTTTTTTAAGAGCAGTAGGTGAGAAAAGAGGGAAGAGAGAGAGAGAGAGAGGAGGGGGAGTGGCTGATGCTAATAAATAATAAATGCCAAAGTGTGAATTGCAACTGAATTGGGTAGGAATACTAGTGGGGCGTATTAAATGTCTTTTGTTTCAACGCTTCAAGAGGCTGGAAAGAGTTTCCAATGCTCTCTCTCTCTCAAAGTAAAATCAGTTTTTTAGCTTTCTGAATAGAATATATATATATATATATACACACACATATATATACATGCATATATATGATTGATTAGATATGCACCAGTTACAGTTACAAAAGGTTTCGAGGTTTGTCTTTAGTGAGTTTGTGTGATCTTCTTGTAGAGAGAAAGCAGAAGTGAACTGCTGTAAAAAAAAAAAAAAAAAAATTAGAACAGTTTAGTGAGTTTGTGTGATCCTCTTGTAAAGAAAAGCAGAAGTGAACTGCTGTAAAAAAAATATACATGCACATATATATATATATATAAATATACATGCATATATATATATCTCTCTCTCTCTCAAGGAATTAGGTGTTTTTTTATCTGTCAAATTCATGGTTGGCCAGTGGTTCATTGACAGGTGTCATGCTATTTTGTCAGACTTTTTAGGTCAAAAAAATTTATAGTATTAGTCGCCGTAGAATTAGAAATTAGAATGCACAAAAAAAATATATATATATATATATAAATATATCAGGCACCGGAAGATCGTCACCGCTAAATGTCCCGTCATAGGCGGCAGCTATCAGCCCATGACTGCTTATCTACACCTGAGTTTACGAAAATGCCCCTTAGGGCTCCACGTGAGGAGTTTGTCGTTAACATAAGAAGGGTCCAATATTTCGACTAGTTTAGTCAAACGATCCACCCCATGCCAGGTTGCCAACGTACCGCAATCAATCAACCTGTTTATTGTTTCAAATCGTTATTAAATGAGCAAAAAAACATAAAAAGGAATATATTTTGCATGTTCCTAACCCTACCAAAATTATTGCTTAAATATATAAGGCTCGTTCACTTCACCGATTTAAATTTAAAATTTAAATTTTATTACAGTAAAAAATGTTTAGAAAGTCATATTTAATTTTTTTATTACAGTAAAAAACTCTCACATAAAATCATATTTCAACTCGAATTATAAATTTAAATCAGTAAAGTGAACGCATATTTCAACTCGAATTATAAATTCAAATCAATAAAGTGAACGGACCTCCTGAATGTATACAAACCGCCTTACCATTTATTGGGATTTGGTAATGCAAAACAATACTGCTTTCTATTATTTTGTTTTGAGTTCAAACAAACTCGTGTCATACGCTCTTTTTGCGTGCCGCGTGTTTTCTAATTCCATGCTAACCATGTCGAATGATGATGCGTCGAGTATTCCAACAGAGAATATCCTCTGTTCAATCAATACAATTTTCTTCAGTGTCCGATAACAACCGACTATCAAAAGCCAAGTACATATATGCTTTACCAAGTTTTCCATCTTAAAATTAGTATATACGTCTTTAAGCATTTCATTTTACATCAGACATTCATGGCTTCACGTCCCCAACAAATCCCCCACGTACAAACGTTTTTTCTGTATTCACACTACATCATACATACATATATACATATATGTTTGTGTGCGAATGCCTTCTGTAAACACTGCATCAGACACAGTTATTGCCTGAAAAAGGAATACAATTTACTGTATATATAAAATTAAACCAAATCAGCAAGTTAAAGAATCCAATTGTTTTACCGACCAAAAAAAAAATCCCCTCAAAGCCGAGACCCGAGGGTTATAAAAATACTCACGTTTGTCCTACAAACTAGAACACAACGGCTAATATATAAAACTTAGTAAATAATTCGTTTAAACGCAAAGCAAATATAATCAAAATACATAATACAGCAAATCTAGAACACAATTTCAAAAGTTATATATGTCAAAGCCCTAACGGAGGATTGTGAAACCAAAAACTAGATTACTTCAAATTGTACACCAAATAGTAGAGCATCTGCCCTCTTGAAGCCAACAACTTGTCCAGCATTAGTTTGTAACAGACGGGGATGCGCTGCTCAAGCATCATCTGGGCAAACGAAGCTTTCCATGGCGATGCATCGCCTACATGACCTTTTACGATGGCACTGCACCATGAATAAAAAATTGGTTTAGTGGTTCCACGATGGCATAAAACGTTCCCGACTCAATAGAAGTGAAACAAAAATCACATGAACAAGAATGAAGAAGAGAACATACTGTATGTAGAAGTGTCAATCTGCTCAGGAAGCTCCTTTATATCCACCTCAAACCTCTCCTGAACCTGTATTCACAAAACCAGAATCTTAAACCACTTATGAAACAAAATAAGAGAAAAGAGGATAAAGAAGAATAAATCACGTACATCGTTGAGCACATCAGAATCAGCAGCAGAAGAAACAAATGTGATGGCAAGCCCTTTGGTACCAAACCTACCAGCTCTACCGACCTGTCAAGATTGTGATGAGAAAGGAGTCGTACAGATAGCTCAAACAACAATATCTGTTGAGATTTCTCAAGATAATAAAATTCTACCAAAAACATGCCTAAATATGAATGCATTTTAAACCAGCATTGGTGAAACAGATACTTCCAAGCCTCTCTAGAGAATATATGATACACAATGACATAGATTTCACTTTTATGATCATATCACATTCCTAAAACTGAATGATTAGGTTATGAAAAGTTCACGTATATTTTAACTTATTTTAAAGTAAACTAACAGTAATAATCACATAATTAATTTGCCATAAACCAGAACCGAGGAAATGATGTGCAAATTTGAAAGCCAAAAAAAAAAAAAAACAAATCCAAAAGCCCTTTTGAGGACCTACATGCAGTAAAGAATAACTACAGAACAACAAGGAAAAAATGTGTACATTTGAACTTTTAATGTCAAGATAGCACATTTTCACTTTTGCAATATTTTGGAGCTATTTCAATAATGTCAAGATTCCAAAAACTTGTTAGTTTTTACAAGGTTGTCATCACAGGCACCCTAGGTATCTGGGTCAACCACTCAAATATCTCAAGCAAGTTGACAACCACGTTAGACAACAATCTACATTTTCCGGACGATACATTATTTATAAACACAAAGCGCTCCCCACCAAATTAAGTAAAAATAAACAGTTTGCAACCAAATGTACCGGTTTAAAACTAAGCATGGAAGCATATACATGTGCTACTTTCAAAATGAAATTGATTATGCTAAAAAAGCCTACCCTGTGAAGGTAAGTGTCAGCTGAATCTGGCATGTCGTAGTTGATGACAATGTTAACACGTTCAATGTCAATTCCTCTGCCGACCAAATCTGTAGCAACGAGAATCCTATTCTGCCCCTCCTTGAAACCTTTATAGCGCTTCAACCTACAAAAAGCAGACCATTTGAATAAATAACCACGTCTTCAGTAGAAAGAATATAATTTATATAAGCAAAAACACGTCATACTAGAAAGCATATCGAGACAGGTACTAAAAAATAGAGAAAGAGGGGGGGGGGGGGGGGGGGGGGGGGAAGGGGTGGGTGGTGGGGGGGGGGGGGGGGAGAGAGAATGCAGTACCAAACTTACTGACCTAATCCTCCAGGGAAACACAATAACCATATCTAATGATATAAACATATGGAAACAAAACCAACAAAAAGAACATAAAAGAAAAAGAAGAATGCTAGGCACTTTGCACATTTCAATTCATGTTAGGCTAGCGAAACATATTCTAACACTTAAAAAAAAAGAAGGAAAAAAAAGGCATTTAGTAGCCCCAATCAGAAGCAGTGGAGGAGACCTAAATTACTAAATAGAAAAAATAATGAAAAAACCAGCTTCACAAAGCTTAAGTACATAGATTATCCATTAATAAAATTACTTTTAACAAATTATATATATATATATATATTCGTTAATAAGAGTATTCATTAACCACCCCATATCGTCATGCACAACGCCTCAAGCCAAACAAAAGTCCAAGGGAAAGTCATGGCATCAGGGAAGGTTTTAGTCTAGCTTTGCCTTATGGCTGGTACATTGATAAAGTTGAATTTAATGCAAGTAATGCTGTATCTTGCGTTCAAAACAAGGCACTATGGGTGTGCAGGGCCCTATTGTTGATGGTGTTTGTAATTTACTTGATGCTCTAAATTGCTCCTGCTAAATTCGGTTTGACTTCTAACATAACCTCTGTTTGCAGTTGTTTTCTCCCTCGTTGGCTTTCCAACATCGTTTTTATGGACTTTGTGCCAGATTAATGAAACTTCTCAGACCTCCAAAAAAAAAAAGTCCTTTTCATTCATTTAACAAAAACAAGGGCCAGCGGCAAACAGACACAAAACATAAAAATTTGGAACGAGCCAGAGTCCAAGACTAAAAAAGAAGAAAACCAACACCAACAAAACAAGAGCAAGTATCACCCATCAAAAACAGGGGACACCCACTCATGCACACCAGAAAAAACAATATGAGGAATGATCATATGTTGTGTAAGAAAAGAAAATGGCTGAAAAAGAAAAAATGGTCGCAAAAAAAAATGTAAGATTATTGAGAAAACGAAAAACAAAAACAATTTAATTGTAGGGACTTTTTTGAAATTTTAAAATGGGTGTAACTAGTAAAATGAGGGGTGGTTTTCGAATGGGTGTGAAAAGTAGACGGGGTTTGTCAATAGACGCACCCAAAAAAATAATAATAATAAAAAACTCTACCAAGAAGACACTGCTAACAAAAACCAACAAAAATTCAAAATGCATCTCATGGAGAGATCAATAATGTCATTTATATGGCTGTTTACTCCTGTCAAATAGTGAACTCAACTGTTTACTCCTGTCAAATAGTGAACTCAACACAGAAGACAAATGGACATTGCTACTAGTAAATATATGCTAGTAATGCTACATATGAAGAGAAACTTGCAGCAATCAGATTAACTAAAGAGATGGAGCAAAAATCAAAAATCAGAAGCCAGTCCGAACCTTTCTTCCTGGGACATGCCAGAATGAATGCATATAGAGGGAAAATTACACTCAGCAAGCAATTTGTTCAGCTCGGCTGCTCTGCTCACACTTTTAACAAAAATAACAACTTGATTGAAGTCCAATGCATCAAGAAGATCATTCAACTTGCGGTTTTTCTCTGACTCACTCAACTTGATGTAGTGCTGCAGTTCATACAAAAGATTAGATTCATATCAAGTTATTAAAAGCGCTTAGAAAGCATAGTGAAGTGAGTCCAAGATATATACCTGTACAAGCCCATGCAGAGTCAACTTGGCCTCGTCATCAACATAGATTTCCATAGGCTGAAAGGAACAAATGTCATATTAAATCATATTAGGAGCCTTCCTCAAGCCAATTGAATCCAGAACGAAATGAATGATGACGTGCATCCCTTGAGTCAAGATGCTGGTCCATCTCTTGTCTCCTTGAAGTTACTTTCTAAGTCATACCACGCAAGCACCATTGATGCTCAACCCAATCTATAAAGCCACTGACAGCAGACTGTAGGGTGACAGCGAACTCCCCCTCCTTCCTCTCCTCCCCACATACCCCAGGCAACCACCAAGTACCTTTGACTATAAACTAAACCCATGCCAAACACACAATGTCTATACACAGAAGAAGACTAAATAGAAAATAAAGGAAATGAAGCAAAGTAAAAATAAGGGAAAAACACGACATGCTGATCCACAAATGTGAGACTCCTAAAACATTGCACCTATTTCATTTTCTTCTCACTCCCAGAGTACACCCTAAGCAGCAGCAACTCCCATGATACGATTGTAAAACACTGATGGCAAGAAAATAGCGAGGGCACCACATTCTATGTTTCTACAAAACTCTTGGATTATGAAAAAGAGACTTCAAAATTGAGTAGTACTGGTCATGGAACATTACATCTTGCATAAATTTCTTGCAAACCGGTCGGATTTCTTTGCTTAGTGTTGCAGAAAACATCATGACTTGCTTATCATGAGGTGTCATCTTGAAAATTTCCTGCACATCCCTCCTCATGTCTGCAGGACAAAGATTTGGAAATTATGAACAATACAACGAAAGAAAGAAATTAGGAGTAAAAATAACACAATCCATCTTTTCCATAATTAAAAGAATCAAAAGAGAACTTCCATACCAAGTGATTCAAGCATCTTATCACATTCATCCAGAATGAAATGCCTCACATTCTTCAATGAAAGATCCTTATCTCTGGCCAGTGCTAGGATTCTCCCGGGAGTGCCAACAACAATATGGGGACATTCGTTTTTCAGTAAATCTTTGTGGAGTTTGATATTGACACCACCGTAAAAGACAGCAACCTTGAGATCAGGCAAGTATGTACTGAACCTCTCGAACTCGTGACAGATCTATGACAATGAATAACCAAAGTAAGGTACTAAATAATCCCAGTAACAAAAAGTTGTATCCAAAACAACAATTCTCCAAACTACCTGGTAAGCCAACTCCCTTGTATGACACAGAACAAGAGCAGAAACTTGTCCTGCCACAGGGTCTATTTGCTGGAGGGATGACAGAACAAAAACAGCAGTTTTTCCCATTCCAGATTTAGCTTGACATATAACATCCATTCCCAGAATTGCTTGAGGGATGCATTCATGTTGCACTGATGAGGAACGAAAGAAAACCGGATCGAAGGAACCATTTGTAAGTAAAATACAAGTCTCCGATCACTCATATTGAAAGGTTTTACCAAACCATACCAATTCTCGAAATCAAGATAGTGGTAGCAGTATATTACCTGGAAAACATAAAACCAGATTAGTAAAAGAGAGCAATGAAATCAACTAATCAACTAAATGAACTAAAAGAGAGAAAAAAGGGGGCAAAGAACATCACTACAAAATCATCGTGACAATATTACACAAGTGAGGAGTTTGACAAAGAAATGAGAATGAAACCATAGAAAACTCGGCAAGTTTACAACTTAGGTGCATGCACAGAAACATTAACTTGGCAAGAACGAAAGACGATGGGCAGGGCAAAGCATGAGTACATGCAAATATCATATTCCCTAAGAACAAATAAATTCACATTGGCAGCACACTTCTTCAAAAAAAAAAAAAGACGGACCCCAGTGCCAAAGAAGCTCCCATACTATGACAGGCTCGGGAGAAAGCTCAATCCCATATGTACATGCAAGTAAATTCACATTGGCAGCGCATTTCTTCAAATAGAAATAAATGACATAAGAAACCACATTTACAAAAGACTAATGGAATCTCAGACGCTCCCTTCGACTTCTAACTTGGCATTGATGATAATAACAAACAAAAAAACACATGAAAAAAAAAATCTCTAGCACTATAATGCAACAATACAATCTAGTAATCAAGCTAAATGAATTAGATAGGTTGCCTTCAGAGGGATGCTCAAACCCCGAGTCAACAATAGCTCGAAGAAGCTCTGGCTTCAAAAGGAAGTCTCGGAACCCGGAACTGTGTATTCCAACATATCCCCTGAAGAAACACAACAATGAACAAACAAACTTAGCACTTGAATTAAACAGAATCATAGAGCTATCTGTATCAACAAGTTTATAACTATTAAAAGTGCGCAAGAGAGGCTTCACAATTTCAAATTATATTGAGATAATCTCAAATTTCATTAATCCAATATAACATCCCAAATTATCCTTCAATTTTTCCATGTCACGTGATTTTTCATATATCAGACTGAAAAGCTTTTGTATTTACTAATAGATCACTGTTACAAGGTTGAAAAATAAACAAATACGTTGACTTTTCGCTGTGCGAAACCAAAAAAAAGGGAAATTTTCAACGGATTAAATCCATTAAATAGGTAAATTTAGCCCCAAAAAAACTCACTTCTTAGGGGCTTCCCCGTTGACTTTAGCGCCGACGGAGTCGGGGGCCTTCTCGTCTTCTTCTTCGTAGTCAACGAGCTCTTCGTCGTAGACATCGTTGTCCCTGGTTTCGCCCATATTCTGCAATCGAACGCAAATTAGAAAATCCAAACATTACAGACGTTTCCCAATTCATCCATCACAGATCGCGATGGATATTAGGGTTTTGAATCGGGAACCAATCGACAAAACTAAATTAGGGTTTTGTAGAAAGGAAACGAGGTAATACCTTCAGCGAGATTGTGCGAGTGTCGAATTAGGGTTAGGGTTTTGAATAGTCTGCAAACGAAAAGGTTAGCTGAAATAAACAATTTGCAAAAAGGAATTTTTAGTGAGAGAGTGCGGAGACCTCGAAGAGAGAGAGAGAGAGAGAGAGAGAGAGAGAGAGAGAAATATCAGAAAACGGCCGATAGGGTTAATATGACCCGGCCTTTATAAATAGGAGTTATGTTCCAGTATTTCCGAAAATGCCATTATTCCCATTAGATTTTATCAGTATTTACGGGAAAAACAAAAAAACAAAAAACACAAAAATAGTTACACGTGTTGTGAAACAATTAGGACCGCTTAATTCGCTGATTTAAATTTTTAATTTAAGTTAAAATGTGATTTTATGTGAGAATTTTTTATTATTATAAAAAAATTAAATGTGATAATTTTTTAAAACTTTTTACTATAATAAAACTCGAATTTTAAATTTAAATCGGTAAAATAAACAGAATCTTAATGTGGATGTCACCACTTCATATTCTATAATCTCTCATTTATATATCGCATTATCTCCTTCATAATTCATCTGTTAACCTTGTGTATTATCTCTCCATAATACATATCTTAATGTATACTCAATTCATGTAACTCATGTCTTTTGTCCTTCTGGGCCTATTAATAGATATGGTACGAGCATGTTTGGAATACCCCATACAAGTGAATGAAATATTAAAAAGTTATCTTGTCTCTCATATTCTCTTATGTTGTTCACATTTATTTTATAACACGTTAAATCATCACGAGTTTCTAACCATTTTTTTTTATTTAGAATTGTTTAGAAAAATTTTGTTAGATTTGAGAATATTCTTATGTGCTAGTTTCATGCTAAAAAAAAAAAGCGTGGAATGTTTTTCGTGCTCCTCCGAACTGTATCATGAGGTATAGACTCTTTTACTTCATACCTATTGCCATTTATAATTTCATGGGTTTTAATATCTATGTACGTACGTGTAAAGTTCTTCTTTTATTTACATTATATATAAATATTATTAGAATCTCACATCAGCTGGAGATATTAAAATGATCCACTTAATAAGATGAGAGCAATCCTCCCCTAATAAGCCGATTTTGTTAGGTTGAGTTAGGCTCAATATCCTTTGATTTCTGTAAAATGGTATCAGAGCATGTTCAGTTTTACAATGTTGGGTCCCCCAATATCAACTTATTCGCAGCGGTTTGGCATGGTCCACGCTGTGCGTGAGAGGGCGTATTAGAATCTCACATTGGTTGGAGATATTGACATGATCCACTTAATAAGGTGAGGGCAATCCTCCCCTAATAAGTCAGTTTTGTTATGTTAAGTTATACTTATGCCCAATATCCTTTGATTTCTGTAAAATGACTCGTATTTTCATATATAAGGATATCTGGATATTGTATGCATGGTTTATGGTATATGGATTTTTCTCTTATCTATGTATGTATGTGTAGAGTTCTTCTTTAATTTGCATTATATATAAATATGACTCGTATTTTCATATATAAGGATTTCTGGTCATTGTATGCATGGTTTACGGTACATGGATTTTACTGTTTATATTAAATTTGAATTCGTGAGTATTAGTTATTTTACTATAATATATATAGTTCATGCATACCTATTATGATATATGCAATTGTCATCGTGTTTTGGAATTTAGTTTCTAAATATGTTTAGATCATGCTTTTCTATTACAGTGATTATTCTTAGATTTTGTATTTTAGTTTGGTTCTTTATTAGACTAATATTCACTCGACACCTGAATTTCAAAGTTGGGTTTTTCTATCAGTTTTCACATTTATTTTATAACAAAACGAACGTTGAACTCTTATGAATTGAAACAAACTTTTGAAACTACAAAAATCATTTTCTTTTCACAATTTAATAATTTGAGTTGTAAAGTAAATTTGTTATATGAGACAAATATTATAATAAAAATGTTAAATTCTTATAAGATAAAACACTGAAGCGAAAAAAATGAATTATACGTTAAAAGCATATTAAAACTTTAGCGTATAAAATACGTTATTGTTTTGATTAAGAAAATTACCCTTTAGGTTTTAGAAAATTCATTGCTGAATAGCCTATAGAAAAAGTTTAGCAATTAATTAACAAGAGAGCAAACGGGTGGTCAGTATGTCCTAGAGACACATAGTGGTAATTAAAAATGGTTTAGCCACCAAAAGTGAAGAAGCGGTGAGTAACGAAATAAAATTAGAAATTTAAAAAGACCAATAATGTTTGAGTACAGTAATCAATATGGTTATTGTCATAAAGACTAACTTTATGATAATTGTTGGGATTTATTTCCTAAATTCTATATTGATTCTAATCGTTTTATGATTGGCATTATTTTAAAAATGTTTGGCTGGTTGATTGTGTTTAGAAATAGATGTGCAGCTGGCAAGTTTCTTATGGTAGTTTTTTGAAAGATCTGGAAACTTATTTTAGTTTCTATTTTTGAAAGTCAACTATTAATCCAAGATGGTAAATTGATTTAATTGATATTTGGTGGAGATTTCATGGCTGGATGATCTGCATATGTCTCCTAAGAATGTGTCCAGGTTCATTTATCAATTTCGGGAAGGTTTCAGCATTATAGCAGATTGATTCGGACTGGTTTTGAGAAAGTCGACCTTGACAGCTATGTTGCAGTTATTGTTGCAACGAGGATCTGTAACAGATTTGGTTTAGTGAATTAATTGAAGAAGTCGTCAAGTTATGAACTTTTTGTCTATTTATTCAAAGAGTCTATCGGTTGATTGTACACCTTTTGATTAGTTTTGCTGGGTTGTGTGAGAGGTGAGCAATTGTATTCAAGAGAGATGATTTGAGTATTTTTTAGAGCAAAACTTAGTTTGAGAGATTCCAATGTTAAAAAGTCGAGGGGGTCTCGCTGTACAAGTTTATTGGGAAATTGCAAGTTCATAGGCGTTTTCTTATAGAGGGAGTCTCAGGTAGATTAAGTCCAATTGAATTGTAAAAGAGTTCTTAGTGGATTGTTCATCATCTGGGTGTGGCCCCGCAGAGTAGGTTGTTATCGAACCGTGATACCATTTCTCTCGTATTCTTTTATTTTACGTTTCTGCATTATTCATATTATCTTATAAAGTGTTAAAAGACTCAAACCAGTACCAACAATTGGTATCAAAGAGGGTCACCGATGTGTATTTTGGTGAGGTCATGGTGTACTGGTTGATTTTACAGGAATGGATGTCATGAGAAAATGAGAATTTGTGAACAAACCACCGTTTCTGGAAGGTGTCAATTACCCCTATTGGAAGGCTCGCATGAAAGCTTTCATTAAAGCTATTGATGAGAAGGCATGGCGATCTGTCTTAACCGGATAGACTCCTCCAACAACTAAAGATAATAAAGGTAATACCATCCCTAAACCAGAAGAGGAATGGTCCAACGATGAGGACAGGCTAGCAAACAGTAATTCAAAAGCATTGAACGCAATTTTCAATGCTGTGGATATTAATTAATTCAAATTGATTTTCACATGTGAGTCCGCTAAAGAAGCATGGGATATTCTTCGAACTGCACATGAAGGTACGAATGATGTGAAGTCTTCAAAACTTCAGATCCTCATAACCCGTTTTGAGCGTTTGCGTATGGAGGAAGATTAGTGTATTGTCGATTTTAACTCAAAGCTTTGTGATATTGCTAACGAAGCCTTTGCCCTTGGAGAAAAATATTCTGACGCCAAATTGGTGAAAAATACCTTGAGGTCACTTCCAGCAAGTTTCGCTTACAAAGTGACAGCCATCGAAGAAGCAAAAAACGTGGAGAAGATGAGACTTGATGAACTCATATGTAATCTTCAAACCTTTGAGATGAACTTTAAGGATAAAAAGAAAAGTAGAGGAATTGCTTTTCAAGCAGATTATGATGATATGTCCACCAAAGATGAGACCAACGAAGATGAGGACTTAAGTGAGTCTCTTACTTTACTCACCAAAAACTTCAATAAAATGCTGAGAAATATCAACAAGAAAGGGAGATTTGAAGAGAATTCAAAGAATAAAAATTCTCCAAAGAAGAATTTTTAACTCTCAACGGTTTAAAGATAAGAAAAGAAATAAGGGAATACAATGCCGAGAATGTAAAGGATTCGGACATGTTCAAGCGGAGTGTGCAAACACTCTCAAGAAGAGAAACAAGGCTGTCATGGCATATACAAGGAGTGATGATTCAGATGAAAGTCAAGAGGATGCATATGATCACACCAGTAATTATGTGGCTTTCACTGTAAGAAACGAATTCACGAATAAAAATTTATTTTGCACTAATAATGTTGTTGCAGAGTCTGTTGCAACAGCATCTGCAACAACCTCTGGTGGAGTTGTTGATGATACAGATTTCGAGGATGAAACTGAAGATGACAGTGACGATGGTGACCTAAGTCTTGGGAAGATTCAGGAGGCTTATAAGAAGATGTACAAAAAATGGCTTGTTGTTTGCAAACGAAATAAATTGCTTAAAGATGAAGTTGCTATCTTAACAAAGGAAAGGATGAGTTGAAGAATGCTGCAACAAATTATGAAATCTTGGCAACAAAGCATCAGAGAAAGCTTGTTGAGACCAGACTCGAATTGGAGCAGACCGAGAATAATTTAGGGATGCTAAACTCGGGCACAACAAAATTGGATCACTTACTCTCACAACAAAAAACTTGTGGTGATCATTCAGGCCTTGGCTACAAGGGTCAAGAAATTTATGAGAAGACTGTCTTTGTGAAATGAGCCACTAGTACTATGATGCAGTCCTTTAAGAAATCTCGGGTAAGATCAGACAAGAAGATTGTTGCAAAGCCTGTTGTAACAAGACAAGCAAGAGACATGTTTGTTCCAATATGTCACTATTGTAATTTACCTGGCCACATTAGACCTAGATGTTACAAATACTTGAATGCTTTAAAAAGATGTATGATCATTAATCCATCAAATACCGCATTCACAATAAGGACACCTAAAGCAAAGATTGATGTGCAAAATAAATTTCCTAGACGTGTGTGGGTAAGGAAATATGATTTAAGGTGTCATGGGACTTACACTTCTTATAAAGCATGTACTACTAACTCTGAGTATTGTGGTAATAGTCACTTCAAGCTTTTGATAGGTGATAAAAGCAATATGCACAGGAGACCATCATATTCAGTGGGAGTAAGACTCGTAGAGGATTCATGGGGAGTGATTTGCAGAAATCAATAAATTAGAACGTGATCTGCAGAAAAGTGTTGCATAAAGTGTTCCATCAGGTGTTGCAACACCTTCTGCAACAGCAGTTTTATTTTGGCTTATTTTTTTCAAAAGGGCAGAGTAAGTAGTCTATGATGTTTTAGTTCAGGCGAAGTTTTTCTTGGAGACAATTTGCTTCTGACTTTACGAAAGTCATTTTATTTCAGTTTTGCCAAAACAATGCCAAAGGGGGAGATTGTTGGGATTTGTTTTCCAAATTATGTATTGATTCTAATCGTTTTATGATTGACATTATTTTGAAAATGTTTGGCTAGTTGATTGTGTTTGGAAATAGATGTGCAGCTGGCAAGTTTCTTATGGTAGTTTTCTGAAAGATTTGGAAACTTATTTTAGTTTCTATTTTTGAAAGTTAACTATTAATCCAAAAATGGTAAATTGATTTGATTGATATTTGATGGAGATTTCGTAGCTGGATGATCTTCCTCTGTCTCCTAAGAATGTGTCCAGATTCATATATCAGTTCCGGGAAGGTTTCAGCATCATAGTAGATTGATTCGAACTGGTTTTGAGAAAGTTGACATTGACAGCTATGTTGTAGTTATTGTTGCAACAAGGATCTGCAACAGATTTGGTTCAGCGAATTAATTGAAGAAGTCGTCAAGCTGTTAACTTTCGGTCTATTTATTCAAAGAGTCTCTCGGTTGATTGTACACCTTTTGATTAGTTTTGCTGGGTTGTGTGAGAGGTGAGCACTTGTATTCAAGAGAGATGATTTGAGTGTTTTTTAGAGAAAAACTTAGGGCCCGTTTAGTTCGTTGATTCGAGCTGAGATATGACTTTATGTGAGAGCTTTTTACTGTAGTAAAAAAGTTAGATGTGACTGTTTCTGAGAGCTTTTTACTGTCGCAAAATTCAAATTATAAACTCAAATCCGTGAAATGAACGAGACCTTAGTTGGAAGGATTCCAATGTTAAAAAGTCGAGGGGATCTCGCTGTGCAACTCCATTGAAAAATTGCAAGTTTATAGACGTCTTCTTAGAGAGGGAATCTCGGGTATATTAAGTCCAATTGAATTGTAAAAGAGTTCTTAGTGGATTGTTCATCATCTGGGCGTGGCCCCACGGAGTAGGTTGTTACCGAACCGCGACATTATTTCTTTCGTGTTCTTTTATTTTACGTTTCTACATTATTCATATTGTCTTATGAAGTGTTAAAAGACTCAAACCGGTACCAATAATAATGATCAATATTACTATATATAGAAGGACAAAACAGGCACAACAGATAATTAATTTTTTTTAAATATGAATCATAATATTTTAAAACATTACGCAATTTTGGTTCTTACAAGAAATAGCTACTCGTGTAGTTTATTTCATATGATTTTTAGAAGAAACGTCATTCTTTTTTTATATTATTTAGAAAATTAGGCGGTGTGCAACACTTATATATGTATTCAGAAGTTTTATACCACAATCACTTCCATGTGTTGGGATTTACATAACATTTTTCTGACCCTTGGCTCCTTATTTTCGTGGCACAAGATCCAATATTCATGATATAAATGGGTTTGGAAGTTTATTTATTTATGACTAGTTTAGTTCGTTAATTCGATGTTTGAATTTGAGTTGGGATGCGATTTTATGTGAGAGATTTTTATTATAATAAAAAGTTAAATTTGACTGTTTTTGAAAATCTTTTACTATAATAAAACTCAAATCGGTAAACGAAACGAGACCTCATTTATGTCACTCCTCAAAATTCTACTTTTTTTTATAATTAAAATTCATATTTCTTTTTAATTATTTTTTGAGGCGAATAAAAAGAAAACGTGTTTGGATCAAGTAGTGAGCCCACGGGCCGCAACCCAGAACTGAGTGAGAAATAGAATTGAGAAAGCGCCTGACCAAAATCTGTACCGACTAGTTTTATCATTTTCTTCAAATGGACTACACTCTCTCTGCTCAGCACCACCACTTCTAAGCTCCTTCAAAGCCACACCAAACTCAGGTTCTATCTTATTTATGCTCTTAACTTCCTTTCTCATCGCGCGTTTTTATCAACTTGCATAATAATATAAATATAAATATATAATTGTCTAGGCAATCATCTTCATATCCATCAAACACTTGTTGGAAAACAGTACGACGTGGTACTAAAGTACTATAACAAGTCACAAACCATGATTTAAATTATAACATGAATTTTTATATCAAACATCTTCTAAAATTTCCAGACGTAAGATTTTGCCGCGTTAAAGCCAATGTTCTTCTTCGTTTTTTTTTTTGTTTTTTTTTTAATTTTTAATTTTTTTGGGCATAAATTAGTGGACATAAATAAATAGACATGTTATGTTGATTTTATCTTATTTTATTTATCTTTTTTCTTTTCTCAATATATAGGCAGCAAAAAGTGACCAAGGCAAGAAACCAAACAGCGTGATATGTGCTGATTGTGATGAAATGGTAAAGCTGAATTTGAGAAAGATACGCATTTAAGAAATGAATGAAAGAAAGAAAGTAGATATGATCAAAAAGCATAATATTGTTTATGGCGCAAAGCGCAGGTGCAGTTCTGTGCTCACAGTGCCAAGGGAGTGGAGCGAACTCAGACCTGTTCATTTCACCAATTCGAATTTTCAATTTTAGGTTTATACAGTTAAAAACTTTCAGAAAATGTCACATTTAATTTTTTTTATCACAATTAAAAACTCTTAAAAAATGTCACATCTTAACTCGAATTCGTGAAGTGAACAAGGCCTCAATTGATTTCTTCGATGGAAGATTTGAAAAGGGTGATTCTTGTTGACTTTGCGGGTAACCAATTCGTCTTTACATGATATACTTGCATAGTGACAGAGGCAGAAAATTTTCTATTCGAGACAACAATATGAAAAATATTAAGATACATTTTTTTGTTGAATAGGGTATGGTTATAAATTTCGAGTATTTACTAGATTAACACATAATTCTCTTTATTAAATACGGCACAATTATAATTTTAGAGAATTATTATATATAGGAATTAAAGGATACATGTATTGGCTTTGCAGGGGGGGAAGGATATCTTGTGTGGCAATTGCAATGGAGCTCTGGCTTTCATTGGAGGTTTCATAAACACTTTTGATGAGTAAAGAATAGCTTATAGCTCTGCCTCAATGATGAAGCTTGTTAATTTAGGTGTCTCTGCCATACAAGTACTTTTTTTTTTTTTTTGATAATATGCCATACAAGTACTTGTTACTGCTACTTTTGTAAATTAGTATACATTACTGATATGTAGATTTTATCTTCAAAGAACCTTTTACAAGACGAGACTATAATGGCAGAAAATGCAAACCGTCTTGTACTCTTGTAGTATTCAATTTGTTAGTAATAATTGCAGAATTTCCATGCTATATATAATCATGTAGTTATGATCTTGAAATGTCTTTTTCTTTTTTCTTTTTCTTTTTTTTTTTTCATGTGAGGATGAAAAAAGATCATATCAAATTCTAATAGCTATTGATGAACTCACTCATTTGTCTCTGAAGCAAACGGGTGGCCTCAGATTCAGGGTAAAATACATGAAAGACATGAGGCTCTCTCTTAGCCTCCACAAGCTTCACCACTTCGACTCCTTTCATTTGCAGAAACTGTGCATACATCACCCCCCTCTCCTTCAAAAAATCCATCCCCGCCACGTAAACCACCGCGGCTGGAAACTCAGCCCACCGAACTGCGGACAGTTCAGCCTTCTCGAAATCACATCCGAAACAATCGCGATTCAAGCCTTCCGGTATACTAAGTCTCCAAAACATGTCGTTCATTGCCACATCCGTTGCCGCTCCTTCCTCCATTTCTTTCTCGGTCCTCTTCTCGCTTCCAAAATAAGGGTGTATCAACAACAGCCCTTTAATCTTCACATGATCAAAGCCATTACTGACGGCTTTCATAGCAACATGATGTGCGATGTTCCCTCCTGCGCTGTCCCCGGAGAGAAACACCCGGGAAAGATCTGCTCTATCAAGCCATGGCTCAGATTTTGCTTGGTAACTAGAAAGAATCCATTCAAGTGAGGTGTGACAATCTTCGTAAGCTATCGGAAGGCGGTTCTCGGGGGCCAAACGGTAGTCGACAGAAACAATGACGGATTGAGAAGCAACGGAGAAGTCACCAAGGAAATGGTGGTAGCCAAGCCATGTGGTTGAGCCAATGCAAAAGCCACCGCCATGAAAGTAGACCACTAGTGGAAGTGGACTGGAGGATGAAAGAGAATGGGGAAGGAACATCCTAGCAGTAATTGGTTTCGAGGGGTCAATCACAACATCCTTGGACTTGAACTTGTTGTGTGATTCATCTGAGGCAGAGACTATCTCTGGTGCAAAGCGTTTTACAGACCCGTCTGCGAAAACTTGGAGATAGCCTGGGGCTTCATCAACTATGGACATTTTCTTGTTTTTCTTGAAATGGGGTGGAAGGTTATAATATAATTGATATGAATTTGACAAGATTCAGATGGGAGGTCCATAATATAAGCTCTTTGGGTGTGGGAGATTTATAGATAATGTTGGGTTGGTCATGCAAAGGGCATTAGAAGGTTTCATGAGTAAAGAAGAGGTATGTTTCAAGAAAAGAAAGAAACAAGTGATAGAGGTTGTTTCAAGATTCTGAGGTAAAAAGCCTGGAGAGATTGTGACCAAAATAGGTGAACTACAAAATAAAAATTTTAAGTATTAGAAATCGCGCCAGGTAGGGGTCGAACCTACGACTTTCTGCTTAGGAAACAGACGCTCTATCCACTGAGCTACAGGCGCTTTGGCGTCTTTCTACTTAAAATTATTTTATAATTATTTTGTACTCTTTCTAAATATTGAACCCCTGTTCGCTTCGTTTAATTTGAATCACAACACAAGCGATAATGTTTTCTCTCATATGAATTCACTTTTTAACTCAAATTATTAACTCAAACGAGCAAAACAAATGAGGCATGAGTTTGTATCAGTGTTGGACAATAGAAATTAGAACAACAGGACAAGGTATCACACACGATTAAATCGAGATCATTGACATCAGGAAGCACGGCCACATCCGTTGCCGCTCCTTCCTCCATTTCTTTCTCGGTCCTCTTCTCACTTCCAAAATAAGGGTGTATCAACAACAGCCCTTTAATCTTCATATGATCAAAGCCATTACCGACGGCTTTCATAGCAACATGATGTGCGATGTTCCCTCCTGCGCTGTCCCCGGAGAGAAACACCCGGGAAAGATCTGCTCTATCAAGCCATGGCTCAGATTTTGCTTGGTAACTAGAAAGAATCCATTCAAGTGAGGTGTGACAATCTTCGTAAGCTATCGGAAGGCGGTTCTCGGGGGCCAAACGGTAGTCGACAGAAACAATGACGGATTGAGAAGCAACGGAGAAGTCACCAAGGAAATGGTGGTAGCCAAGCCATGTGGTTGAGCCAATGCAAAAGCCACCGCCATGAAAGTAGACCACTAGTGGAAGTGGACTGGAGGATGAAAGAGAATGGGGAAGGAACATCCTAGCAGTAATTGGTTTCGAGGGGTCAATCACAACATCCTTGGACTTGAACTTGTTGTGTGATTCATCTGAGGCAGAGACTATCTCTGGTGCAAAGCGTTTTACAGACCCGTCTGCGAAAACTTGGAGATAGCCTGGGGCTTCATCAACTATGGACATTTTCTTGTTTTTCTTGAAATGGGGTGGAAGGTTATAATATAATTGATATGAATTTGACAAGATTCAGATGGGAGGTCCATAATATAAGCTCTTTGGGTGTGGGAGATTTATAGATAATGTTGGGTTGGTCATGCAAAGTGCATTAGAAGGTTTCATGAGTAAAGAAGAGGTTTGTTTCAAGAAAAGAAAGAAACAAGTGAAAGAGGTTGTTTCAAGATTCTGAGGTAAAAAAGCCTGGAGAGATTGTGACCAAAATAGGTGAACTACAAAATAAAAATTTTAAGTATTAGAAATCGCGCCAGGTAGGGGTCGAACCTACGACTTTCTGCTTAGGAAACAGACGCTCTATCCACTGAGCTACAGGCGCTTTGGCGTCTTTCTACTTAAAATTATTTTATAATTATTTTGTACTCTTTCTAAATATTGAACCCCTGTTCGCTTCGTTTAATTTGAATCACAACACAAGCGATAATGTTTTCTCTCATATGAATTCACTTTTTAACTCAAATTATTAACTCGAACGAGCAAAACAAACGAGGCATGAGTTTGTATCAGTGTTGCACAATAGAAATTAGAACAACAGGACAAGGTATCACACACGATTAAACCGAGATCATTGACATCAGGAAGCACAAACGTGCAAAGAACGAACTATTCCTACTTTGCAATTCGACCTCAAATTCTTTGAAATAAGACTAGTGCTAGAAAGTAGAAACCAACCAACTGCCAAGCAATTATCGCGATAGATATGGCTGTGCATAGAACAGTTTTGCTAAAAGAAAAAAAAAAAAAACTCATTTTAGGCCCCATTTTATTGGAGTGATGGAGGGTTAAGAGCAGATAGAGAATTACAGAGTCAAAGAATGTAAAGGGTGTTGTTTGATAAGAAAGAAAATAGTTTCTTTTTAAAAAAAAAAAAATTAAGATCACAATTATTTATATAATTATTATACAACTTTTGAGAGTGAATGTCCCGCATAAGTGGAAGTTGTTGGAATGGTTTACTATTCCTATCGAGCTGTTCATTTTATTCTTCACTAATTATATTTTAAAGGGTAAAATTATCTTTTTAACTTCAATGTGATAAGTTTCTTGAATATTTGCATTACTTTGCTATCTGTTTTTTTGGCAGAGAAAATTACTTAATTTATCTTTAAAAGTGCATGCACCAATTTAGATTTTTACTCTTATTCTTGATTAATATTTTTTTTAATTTTTACTAATATAACATTTGATTAAAAGAGTATTAATCAAAAGTAAGAGATAAAAATTAAGACTTATACAGTCTAAGGGAGTATTTGCCTTCTTTTCCTCCACTGGTATGATTAATTTTGGTTGGCCCAAAAAGAGGCTTTGCTCTTTTCATTCCTCTCCTCCCTCTTTAACCAAACAAAGCATCTTTCCCTCCAATAAAAAACACAGGTAGGGACGTTTGTTTCATGTGTTCGTCTATAATTTTAAATCACGATTCATAATTTTTTACAGTGTTTTCTCTCACAAAAAACACACGTAAAACGAGAATGATTTTAAATTATGATTCTAAATTCATGAACCAAACGTCCACTCAATATTGTCATGTTTTCTCTCACAAAAAACACACGTAAAACGAGAATGATTTTAAATTATAATTCTAAATTCATGAACCAAACGTCCACTCAATAGTGTCCTTCTACCGTCCTTTGGGTGAAAACCGTTGACTTGACTAATAAATTCATGAGAATTTCACAAGCAAGAACTCATAATTTGCAACACTGACATTAACTACATCGACTCAAAACAAAAGACATATCCATATTTTCATCAAATAGATGCACATGAACAAGATCGTATCGTACAATAGCTGCGCAAGTATTTACCATTAGCCTACAACAGAATACAAAACGATAAAAGAAAAGAAAATTTAATAAACAGCGTGTGAGTTCCGTATTTGATCTAGTGTTCTGTAATATATTCCTCCGAAAGCAGTTCACTTGGCAGCTTGTTCCACAACAGGGTTAGTTTCCAGAGGCGGTAATGAATGTGGCCCTACAGTAGAACTTCCACTTCGAATCTCCTCCAAGACCCGCAAAGCCAGTTGAGTTAGTCTCGCATACGTGCTCTCCAAATGATCAATTTCTGCAAGTTCTTCCTTGGAAAACATGTTGTCAAGTGTCCTCGCGCACTCCTCCACAAGCTCTTTAAGCACTTCAGTACTGAAAAATGGTTCTTGCACGACGCTTTGGATAAAAGACAACTGAATAACAGAACCACTTCGCTTGTCATGTTTCTTAGTTATCTTCACCAATCCTATGCATAATATATCAAGATCAACATCAAAATCATAAAAGGCCAGGAGAGGAATATATAAGAACAGAAAACTCGGATAAGCGTTTCAATTGTTGGATCCTTATCTCATCTCGCTGTTGTATGAGAATCTGATACATCATTTGTTATTTTATTTTTTTGCTAACATTATACACCATGAAAAAAGCTTCCCGATGTTTTTAAGCGATCCAAAAGTTATTCACATCGCATGTCGCTTCCCCAATACATGTTCAGTACCACATAAAACGACAGTACACTCCTCTAGATGAAATGAGAGGATTTTTACTCGTAATTGCATAAAAAAGGGCGCATACATATTAACTCAGTTAATTTTTGTGTTTCACATGAAGATTAAGCATAAACGAAGAAAATATTCCGAGCATTTGACCCTAGATTTGACCCTAGACATAGAAAACCTTCAGAAAATACTTACTTGAACATGCAATCTTATGTAAAATAACTGGAAGCAAACTTTTCAATATGTAAGATGTGTGCCTTACTCAGCATCCAATTTTACCAAGACCAAAGAATCTCTCAACTAAAAGTAAATAAGGAAACTTTCTTACAGAAGGGAACACAAAGAAGTACCTGTGTAATTAAGGATGCTGTAAATTTCTAGCAAAACCATCTCTCCATGAAAATTCACCAAGTTCCTCCCTACTTCAGTCAAATCTTCATTTGAATCCTTGGCCTTAGCTATTCTATCTTGCAACTCCTGAAAATTCAAAAAACCCGAAACAAAAGGTAACAAATACATAAGTAAGATGCAACATTGGAAAGAAACTAAAAAGGCCATTACCAAGCTACAAAGCATAACGCACTGTTGCTTGAAAATTGCAAATGACCCAAACAAGGATTCAAAACTTAAATCATACCCAAACCACAGCCCAAAAATAAGTGCACTTTGACTAAATAAAGGCTTCTCTTGCATGATCTAAACTTACAGAGTATCATCGATCATCGTACACAAGAAAATAACATATTCTTGTATACAAGACAATAGGCAACCAATCAAACAGAGAAACAACAACAAATACTGAAAACTAGTGAAAAGTTCATTTTCGCATAAAATTCAAACTGATGCATACAACATATAAATTTCCTCCTGAACTATTATTAGTTCCTCAAATTAACTAACCATCACAAACTATTATTTCCATATTCTACCGGCAAAAACAAGATAACAACCTCCAAAGCCGAGAAAAATCAGAACTTTAACCTAATGTTCAACCCAAATAAAATTGGTGAAAATGAGGGGAAAAAGAATATTACCTTCCACGCGATAACAATATCCTCCTCTTTCTGAACGAAGAACTCGTTGAACTTTTCGATCTCGTCCTGCAACAAACTCACGAAATCGTCTACCGCCTTCGACGCCTTCGCTTCATCGCTGCTCTCGGCGGCGGCGGCGGCAGTGGCGGCGGAGGAATCGCCGGTGTCGGCGGTGGCCTCATCGTCGGAAAGTCTGGGACGCTTAGCCGGCGGCTCATCTCCGGCTCCGGCTCCGGCTCCGGGCTTGGGGTAGATCAAATTCAACTGCTTCTTTAGAGACTTGTAGGACAGAAACCTGTCCCGCCAATCGGGGAAGATCTCCTCCAGAAGGTTGCCGAGAATTTTCGAGAACTTCATCGGTCCGGTGCACAGGGAATGATCAATCGCAGCTCCGAATAAGCAATTCTGATACGGCAAGAGAAGGAATGACAGAGCGGAGAGAGAGAGATAGAGATTATATAGAGAGAGGGAGAGTGAGAACTGAGAAGAGGGAAGGGAAAACAAATGGCGTTGTGAAAGTGAAAGAGAGAGAGTGGGATTTCTACAGAATATACTCTTTGTTTTTCTTTTAATTTATTTTTTTGAGGGAATATACTCTCCTTATTATTATTATTTTTTTTTTTTGAGCGAGAATATACTCTCTTTCTCTCTCTAACTCACCCGAGTTTTTTTCTATTTCAAAGATAAGAATATACTCTTTGTTTGAGATGTGAAAATAATAATAATAAAATAACAATAGTGATTTTTATTCCGCTTTCTTATTTTCAAATTCACTTGTGTAGTTCAAGGTCACCGGTGAATTCTATGCCGCTTTATGCGGTTTATACTCTTCGAATTCCCCGGTACTTAAAAGGAATAAAGTATCAAATTAAGTTTATTCTACGTAGAATTAAAGAAATGCGTTTGACTTTGCTATCAACTTATTATTGTTCGTCAAAATTTGGTTTTGTTATCTCAATTTCTTTTCCCCTTTGATTTTTTTTAACTAAGCTATAATTTAGCTTAGTTTGGTAGTGTTGTAAATTTTAAAAAAGTTACTTTTAACTGTGCTGAAGGAAGAAACAACTGTTATAAAAAGCAGTTGAGTGTTTAATAAACTATAATTATAGTAGCTGTGCTGATTTTAAAATCAGTGTAATGATGTTTGGTAAATTATGAAGTTGACTTATTGTGGATAATTAAAAATTAGGATTATATTATATTATTATATAATATAATTATGATATAGAATATAATAATATTATTAAAATGGTTAATATAATTACAATATTATAAAACATATT